GCGTTACAAATTTTGCGCTGCACACGATAAATAGGGAAATAAAGACGGCAGCAAACTGGCGCCTGATAGTGAAATCATTGCAAACACTGATATATTTATTACAGTATGCACAAGTTCATAAACCAGAGTATAATAATTCATAAATAAATTTCTCGTGTCACAGTATTAGTTACCATACCTAAGTTCTCCGAAACGGCTTGGCCAATTTTGATAAGTTCACATTTAAAAGATCTGAGCATTTATATCTCTTAATTAAAGAGGATGGTCCACCCCTTTATATACTTAGTGAAACCACGTTTATCTATGATTATAATAGAATTTCATCTACGAGGGTCAAACTGAAAGTTCTTAGAAAATCAAAAACTGATTACATTAGCCAGTTATTAGTTTTATTATATCTTTTCAAAATATTGTCCATTCACGTCAATACACCGCTGCATGCGATGGAACCACTGGGAAAAGCACTTTGCCCACTCGTCCTTAGGGGTCTCTTCAATGGCATCGCGATACGCAGCCACCGCTTCTTCAGCATTCATAAACCGCTTTCCTTTAAGTTTTTCTTTAATTTTTGGAAATAAATAAAAATCACAAGGCGCGAGGTCGGGTCTATACGGCGGGTGACCCAGTAATTCAACGTTTGATGTCGCCAAATAGTCGATCGTTCGCTTGGCGGTGTGCGACGAGGCGTTGTCGTGGTGAAGGAGGATCCTACTGCGAGGTCGTTTCTCTCGAACTTTTTCCAAGACAAGTGGCAAACAATTGGTAGTGTACCATTCTGCAGAAACTGTTTTTTGATCCTCTAACACAATTGTTGCAAAATGACCTATCCTTCCAAAGAACGAGGCCACCATTTTTTTTTCCCGCACTTCGATCTCTCTTCACTTTAGTTGGCAACTCCTCGAAAGGAAACACCCACTGAGCAGATTGTCTTTTGGTTTTAGGATCATAACAGTAAATCCAGCTTTCGTCACCTGTTAGTATGTCGAACACAGCATTTGAGTCACCTCCGTTAAATCTTTCAATCATTTTACGACACCAATCCACACGATGGAGTTTTTGAGCTTCAGTCAAATTATGAGGTATCCACCGGGCGCAAAGCTTCCTGACCGCTAAATGTTCGTGGAGGATTTTGTGCACTTGACTCATACCGATGCCTAAGCTTGTCCGAATCTGTTGATAGGTCACTCTTTTGTCAGTCTCTATCATACGCCGCACAACACAGATGTTATCTTCAGTCGTCGCCGTAGAAGGCCGTCCCTCACGTAAATCATCAGTGAGATTAGTGCGACCACGTTTAAACTCATTAAACCAGTTGTAAACAGTCGCACGAGATGGGGCTTCATCGTGAAAGGCCAATCGTAGTCTATCATAACTTTCTTGTTGACTTAAATGACATCGAAAGTCATAAAAAATCATTGCACGAAAATTCTCTCGTGTTAAATTCATGATGACGTGACACAGACAATTTTCAATTTGCCGCCAAATCGTAAAACAAATGACAAATGAATGAAATATATACTCAGTAATATTGGCAAAGAGTTATATTTTCAAATTTTAGAATTATTTTTTTATTATATTGTTTATAAGTGGCCAGTTCTAAGAACTTTCAGTTTGACCCTCGTATAAACCGTATGACGCAGAATATTCGACTGATATAGACCAGAAATATGATGGAAATAGACAGACTTAATTATTTGAAAAATAACGTATCATTGCTATTCGGAATTAGTTTACAGATAGAAACACTAAAAATTGGAGAATTAAACCTAGATATCAGGGGCAAAATTTCATAGTGGCTTGCCTGCTTCTCGGGACAACAATCTATACGGTCTTTCTGCGGCTCGGAAAATAATGAGGAGAAAATTGTTTACGGGATTGATTCATTTTATTTATGAGTATTTATTCGCCGTTTTCCCGCGACTTTACCGACTTTTAATTTATATTGCCTCTGGGCCTCTGGGTGACAGAGCGTATGATACACGTGACAGAATTTTTAAAATCGGTCTAGTAGTTTCGGATCGTATAGGTAAGATGCAAACAAACGATTAAAAATGTTCTCTATAAATTAGTAAAGAAAATGTTCTGTAAGTTCGGGATGGTTCCGAATATATTCGACGATAGACCAGAGATGATAAAGTCCATTTTTAATATTTTCTATTTGAGTTTTTACTTAGAGAATTTATTTTATTGATTTATTTGGACAACTTACAAAATATACGCATGTTAAATGCTCGTTAAAAGTGATACGTGGCTCATGTTTATGTGTCGTTAATGACATAGGAAACGGTAATAACTAAAAACTTCAGATATTGATGCCAATGCTGTTTTGCCACTCTAAATTGGTAATTGCTTTTTGTTTTATTTTTATGAATTACATCTGTATGACATGTCGCTACACGTACATATCTAATGCCGATTTTAGTAAATGATTGAGCTTGTTTGTCTGTGTTTGTCTTTAAATCCCAACTTGGAGAATGAATATGCTGTAATTGTTTTTTTTTTTTGTGAAATGGAACGAATCGGGGTGTGCGCGTGTACTGAAGATAAGAAATTATTCATATACCTAGTCTAGCCATAAGTTTTGTTACAAAGAAATTTTAGCTTTAACGCACGCTTTTATACGTTCGGGCTATATGTCGATGTATTTACGAACGGTTTCCATACGAAACTTGGTCAATGCTGCCTCCAAAAATTTCTTGAGCGACTCAATATTTGGGTGACGCTTAGAGAAGGCCATATCTTCTAGCACAGACCACAATTAATATAGTTCAAAGGGTTTAAATCGGGACTAGCCTAAGGCCAATCATCAGCCTTTATGAAGTCATAGCATTTTGCTCCAAATTTGGGTAATGCGCGCCTGAATTTAGCGCGATAATTTTTCTGTTTTTCGTCCGCGTATCGAAGTAACCGCGTATAGAAGCTATTTTTATTTTTCAACTCTTGTTTTAGTGCCTGATTTAAGGTATGTCCTGTGTATCTCCAGTAAGTCCCTAGACCTAAGTCTTTGATAAACCGAGAAAGTGTCCTCAGTGGGATTCTTATTCCTCTGGAAACGATTTTTTGCTTCCTCATGGGATTTCGACGAATTCTGGCCTTGACTACATTAACGACCTCTTTTGTTCGAATAGAATAATATAAGAATAGTCAACAACAGACATGGTTTCAATGTACCTTTGGATGATACGATACACAAACATTCGGCTAATCCCTAGCTTTTTAATGTATCAAAAATGTCAGCTGGCTCCTTACCTACTTTTTACAGTGCAATTATTGCAATCCTATTTAGTACCCCACTCCATTTTTAAAACAAATAATTTCTAAACAAAAAACATACAATAACGGCGGGAAAGTCTTTTTTATCGTAGAAGCTGATGTTCGAAATTCAATGTATTTTTTTTTAAGTGAGAATTGCGAATTGAGAACTTCCTCCTTTTTTTAAAGTCGGCTAAAAATGAAAAGATTTGCGATTTGAGCATGTAAGAATTTTATGAAAAGTTTGTAATATTGCTGAATTTGACCAGTTGTACTTATCAAGTACTACAGGAGAGATTGACTTTTTTCTTAAAAAAAATAATATTAAAATTCTATGATGGAAAATACCTGAAACGAATATGAGAGTAATTATTATTGTTCATTTTGATTTTTTATTGAAATAATTATATACTTTGAGATTTTTCTTATATGAACGAACAGTACACCTACAAAACAAATTTCATACATAAAAGGAAGTTTCATTTTGCTTTCATATTTGTGCTAGGCGTTTACACGACAGCGTTTTACTAATATATAATGCGTGTTACGTATATTGTTTAAGAAACACGTCAGTCTTTCATGTAGTACGTGATAGGTACAATATCCCTAAACGTAAATAATCTAGAAAAGTAATCAAACTCTTTGTATATAATCGGGGCCGGGGTGGGTCACATTTGCTTTAGCCTGGCCACAAAAAGCGTGCTTTAACTGGCGAAATTCTGCGTTACTTTTCCTTTTGAGTACCAGAGAGTACGCCGCCGTAAAGTGTATATACTTCCGCATTTTATAGAGTCATGGCCGGACTAGAACGGATAACACTGGCCTACCTAGTAAACCCTCCGCTACGAATACCCTCCGGGTGGGTTTGATTGTCGGGATCCGGCAAAGACCTCACCGGATCCAGCTTCACGGAGGGCTTGTAGGAGTACTACACCAAATTGGTCGAACAGGGCTCATCATGATGATGAATATGACTGCAAATAAATCAACCGCTTCACAGAGATAATCTGTATAACCTTCACCGGATATGATTCAAATAAAATTATAAGAACGATCCGAAATTTTCCGGATTTTAGTTCGTTGACAAACAGAGTTGCCTTGCCTTCCACTTAGATCGTCATCTACCGCAACGGGGAAGTTACGCTTGCACCTGTTGGCGCACGGATACGCCCCAGCTATTTGTTTTCACTTTCGTATAACTAATTACATTGAACAGTCTTTGTAGATCCAAAGTAACCGTTGTTGGTATTATGCATTATTATGAACATGTATTCAAATGGTTCAGGTTCATTTATTCACCAGAAACATGGTAGGTAATAAGTTTTATTATCATAGCATGCAAAAAACGATAATTATTTCAAATTAAAGAAGCCGTCTACTATCTAAAATAAATGAAATACCTTCGTAACTAAATACAATAATATCCTTACAAAAAATAGTTGTTACGTAAAGATAATGGTATAAAATTCATTGTAAGTATTCGCGAATAATCTGCAGTTATTAAAATATTCACATTGGCATCGCATTGATAGGATAATTACGTAGGTACTATTTAAAAGCTGTAAAAGTCAAGAAATGTCTGTTCCGGCTTTTAAGTATGATATAATAATCGGCACATCATATACATGTTGGATAATAACGTAATGGTGTTGGACATTGATCATGTTAGGTGGTGGATGACGGCGGTGGGGTTAGGTTTTTGGTGCACGGAGAAAGTGCCACTGGTGGTGGTCGAAGACCCAAGCACTCGGCGCGGCCGCGGCCGACATACGCCCGCCTGATCACGGGCGAGAGACATTTGTGAAATAATGCCATTGAACACCCGCCGAATTCGACAGTGAATGCGGCGTGCACAGAGATGCCGCTCAAATGAGTAGTAGTGCGGTACACCGAATACATCTCGCGTCGGCTTCGAATCATCACGACAATGTGCCAATGGATTGTGACTATAATTTACGTGGTTCTCATCGCATCGAATTCGGCGGCAAGGAAAATAAGCTCACCGGACTCCGCTACGCTTGATAACCATGTGAGTATTTATAAACAAAGCGATAGCAGAGATATCTAGTATCGGTCACCGCGATGCGGACAATGACTCTGAGAATACTTTTACTTTCAGTTAAACTGGTTAAATGTATTCGCTTCTGGTCACCGTTTAATAACAGCGTGACGGCAAAATTTAAAAACGAGGAACTCCTGTATTTGTTATACCATTTTCATTTACATACCTATAACTCGCACTATTTATAGCACTATACATTATACATTATACATTTTAGCAATCCTGTAATACTTATGTAAGTAGGTAGGTATCTTTTGGTGTTTTCAGAATACAATTTTTATTTCGTTTATGCAAATGTTTCAGACTCTTTATTTACGTAAAGCAAATGTAAAAAAATCAAAAATGTATATTCATTAAATTTTAAATAGTAAACATGGTAGTAGTTGGTCCATCCTAGTGCACAAACTAATATGCCTGTATCAGGAGTGACATATCTGCTTTATCCGTGGTTTTGAACTATGCGAACCCAATTATTTCACCAAATGTCAGCAAAAATTACACAACGGATTTGAATGTAGTTTTCATTGATATACAGAGTGATTCAAGAGAAAGGTTTGTATGTGTAATACAGGACCACTTGGGCAAAGCCACTGGCGGAAAGCTAGTAGATTCTAATTAAAAATTCTAGTAATCACGCAAAAGGGTAAGATTTTGATATGATTTTCTTTGGATGCTTATTTTAGTCTTTTATTTTTGTTATATTAGCTTTCCTTCTCGACGACTTGAATGACTGAGCGGTTCGAACGACCGCAAGGTATCGTCACAAAAATCCATTTATTTGGGAAAAAGTAAAACATTATATTTGATCAATTTCGCAAGAAAAATATTCTTAATGCAAAATGCTTAAAAAATCCAAACAGCCTAAAGAAATATTATTACAAATATTGAATATACTCGTAATATTTCTTTTTGGTGGACTATTGTTTGGGTGGATTCCCTGAGCATTGATGAAAATACGCTCTGCAGTAGCGAAAAGTAACAGTGCTTGAAAGATTCGTCAGTCCAGTTAGGTCCTGGGTAGCTCAGCGGTTAAAGCAGTCGCCCGGATTGCGAAAGGTCATGGGTTCGAATCCCATCTCAGGGTGCCAGGGACCAAGTGGATTTTTGAAGCATTTTGATTTAAGAATAAAGTAAAACATAACATAATTACATGAAGGAAATATTTTGCCCTAAAACGGTTACAGCTCAGTATAAATGCTGGTCGTGTGATCAGCGTTCATCTTCCGCTTGAAAATTTAAATACGTGACTGCCGAAATCGAACTGATAACTAAAAGAATTATGTATTATGACTTGGACAAACAAAATGGGAACCTTGGGAACCTTTTAGATTGCAAATATTTCCAGAGCGATATTTTCTTATATGGCCTCGTACTTACATCTACCATATGGAATATTAAAAAAAAAATCATTCGGTTGCCATCCGGATAGCCAGTGTCCTTCGGATGTTGTAACGTTAGAATTGTTATTTCACCGGAACTGCCCAAAAATATATTGGCCTGACAGAGAATCGAATTCAGAATTTACAGTCAAATCAAGTACTTTGTCTTTCGGATATAAAAGACATTTAGTTATTATTATATTGACTTTGACATATGTCAAAGTTTCTTATATTCTATCTAACATATCACGGTTAAGCCTTAATAGGTTTTAATAGACAGACTCGCATTTTATTTTGATGCGATATTGCGATAAAGATCAAACTACAATCATTGCGATTTTCATTATATAACAGCAAATGGTTTGTATAATTCCATAGTCGGCGCATTCTGATGATCTTTGATAGGTAATTATGTATGAAACGGATGTGCACTACTTTCTACGGTTACGTGTTCCGTTTATGCAACATATCTTTATGATTATGTTAATTTGTACACAAAAAAAATATATAACACGATAGCGTATGTATTACAGTGTTATAATTTTAACGTTGTTGTGATTATACTTACTAAAATTATTTAACATCTTAGTACTCACCCCTACTATGGTATTCTGTCAAGTTAACAGCTTTGAATTTATCATCTTGTGCAGTAGCATCAATTATATAAAACATTTATTAGCTTTTGAAGTATGATTTATTTGATTAAACCTCTATGCTATAATAGCGCTGAGTTCGTTAATAAGGTAGAGGTTGTTTTTATAACACAAATACTAGCTGTAATACTACACCCGCGTATGATACTACTTCTCGTAGGTAAAATAATTTTCATGATCAGATCAGACTTCCGAAGGTTATTATCCTCCACGTACAAATAAAGTTAGAAACTCTACTACGTTATGATATTAAAAGCCAGGGCAAGATGGAAGGAGTGGGCAAAATGGAAACTTCTTATTAATAGACAAAATATGTGATCTATCGCGGGTGATGCTACATACAGAGAGACGTAGCTGAGTGTGATTTACGAACGATATTTAATCTGATATGCACCGGCCAGTGAAATGTGTTTATTCTATTGGAAAATATTACAAAATTTGTTTAATTATATTATTCTCTGCTCACATTGCTAAGATAAGTAAGTAATAAAAGTAAATATGTACTACAGATCGAGTGTAAAGATTTATGTATACAATTAACAAAGCAAAATATTAGTGAAATTATAGATATGGTAATATAAGTATAATACCAACATACGCAAGATGGAAATTTGAAGTTGAGGGCAAAATGGAAGGAATGAAAAAATATACTACTGTAAAAACAAAGGGACATAAGGAAGGGGAGAAAAATACGAAAGTAAAATACGAAAAATCAGCTATAGAAGACTGCTTACGTAGTCAGTCGTATTGTAAGTAAGTACATTAGCTAGATTTTTTTTTATATTTTAAGTATTCATCGCAAATTTGTGTTATATATTTCGAATTCTTTCTCTTTCGTTCTCACGGTTTTTCTTTATGTGTTATAACTCATTTTTGACTAGAATATAGTTATTGTGAATTAGAAATTTGTTTAAATTATTTTATTACCTTACAAGAAGAATTTAAATAAGATACTTATCCTAAGTACATTTATATTTATTACTATATAAAGTTAGCCCTTCCATCTTGCTCTCCTTCCTCCTATAGATATGGATTCAAAATATGCATGGCCACTAACGTAAGAGTAATAATTAAGGTAGCGGGTTCAAAGCCCATTTATGTTAATGTAGAACAACGGTTTTTTTTATTTCAAATTTATATAAAAAAAGAGCTTCTTACTAGTGATTAGTAACATACAAAAGATATGAACGCGTTAACCCATAAAGATAACTTAGGTAAAATGTTTTTGTGGCATATAATAATGATTGCCTTTGTAAATATATTTTTTTGAAATGATGCTTATTTTTATTTTTTTTTTATTTTCAAAATCCTAGCCCGTCATCATGTTGGAAAATTACAAATACTACAAACTTGAATGATACAAAATTATTTTATTTATTCTTCATTGTAAACAGGCTGTTATACTAGCTTTTCACCGTGACTTCGTCCTCGTGGTATAATTACATTATATTTTTAAAAAAGCTAAAACAAATATTTATTAATTACATTGTGTAAAATACCTGAATATAAAGTTTCATAATTTTATTATTGACAATGACGAACTTCCATACAAACTTTAATTCCCTATGTCAACCCTTTTATCACAATAAAAAATACACACGCAATGCTGCAGTGATACCACCTACTAGCCAATAAAAAATCTCGACATGAAATATGATTTTATTACAAGCTAAGAATAAAGTGCATTTTAAAAGGCATTACATTCACTTAAGTTAATTTCTTTGTTTGTGATGGCTGTAATGGTTACAGGTGACCATAATTTACTTGATTCCAATTAAATTTATCAAAAAATATCGATATATGAAGTTGTTGAAATCGAATCAATATCTGAGTCTCTACGACTGCAGTTTAGGCTGCGCGTTGTTGTAAATCAGTATGTCAGGACATCTCTTTTAATATATGTCTAGATTAGTTTCATATACTGGCATAGGCGCGTGGAGGTTTTTAGTTATGATAGTTGTTATTTATAAAAATAAATAAAACAAAAATAATACCAACATCGGATTGTAGCACCAATATTCCCGTATCGCTTTCTTACATTTGATAAACTACTGTGGATAACAAAAACGAGACCAGAACAACAATTACCGCGTGAAAGGTAGGCGCCTCGCAATCATACTTTGGAAAGTAGTTCGTTGTTGACCTTACGAATTCGCATAAACAACAATGCACATTTTATTCTTTAGTAGATTGACTGTAACTGCATTTAAATTAGATGTATTAATTTTTTAATGAGTGTTTCGGTTATATATTGTTATCATTAGTTTTGGCATTAAAACTAATTATGTCCTTTCCCAAGGTCCACTCTCTCTGTGTACCAAAATTAATTGAAATTGGTTTGGTAGTTAAGGTGTGAAAACGTAACAGACACACAGACAGTGTTTGAGGTATGATATTATTATGGGTTATGGTGTCTACGGAACCTGTAGCAAAAAGTCGTACTTTGCTTTCCTCATACATAACACAACACAACTAGTCTGTGACTTAATTTTCATTTGTCAGTTTATTTTATTTCTTGCAGTTTTTAACACTGACTTGAGAAAATAATTTATTGGCTCTGAATCATAGCGAGGCTCCCACTTGTGCGGGGCTCCCGAACGCGCGGGGCTCGTTTTGGATTATGATATGAAACGCTCAGTGATTTAAATAGCTATGAATTTTCATGGAAATTACTAGTGCACTCGATATAGAGTATAAATAAACACTATAATTGTAGTAAACACTCAGAAGGAGACACTTTTGTGTTCAAATAAAATATAAGCGTGCAAATATTTGATAAAAGTCATCAAATACCCGTGCCGTGTAACCACAGAATAAACAAAAAGGTTAGAACGATATACAGCCAGTTGCATAAACGTCCATTAACATTTTCATTAGTTTAAAGCGACATTACCGATACAAATTTGACATTCATTAGAGCTTAAAGACGTCATTAAACCTTAATGGACGTTTGTGCAACTGACCGATAGTGGGCGAGATTGTCCGACCATCCATATGCCCAACGTTATCATTCGAACATTTTTAATTATTAATATTTATTTCGTATTTATTTCAAATGCGTTTATCATTAGGTGTAAGTATAAGGTAAGTACAGCACATTTACCATTTCTGGCATACAATTTCTGTGTGTGTAACACAGTGTGCAACTTATGCGATTAATTAAGTGCGTAGGTACATGTCTGGGGCCGGGGTTATACAAGTTTCCATCTTTTATTCCATGTTTTATATTTTATTTCAACTAGTTGTTTGCAATAGTGTGAGAAACATTCTAAAAGGTATAAGCAGGTTTCCTTAACAAAAGTAAGTTTAGGTTATAGATGTTAGTTATAGGTTATAGATTTTTATCGTCTTTGTTTGTGGCAAAAGACAGGTTGACAACATTCAAAGCATTGAATAATTGCATCCACGATGTACGTATGCCGATATTTAGGATATTTTAAAATCACCGTAGTTTTTGGAGACTTTAATAGATATTTTAATATGTTTGTGTATTATCAAAGCAACAAAACATAATCTCATGACTTTTTGAAAGCAGTTCAGAGAGATCCAATCTCTCTAAAAAAATATTTCGATTTTATATGTGATTAGGTTTGAATTAAATAAGTAGTTCCTACATTAACTACCAGCATCGTTATCTAATTGTTAGAGACTTTTGACTAGCATCTACTTTTTATATGAAAAAAAAAACTACAATTTAAGTCAGGGTCGATTACAAAACTTAATATTAACCGGGTCACGGTATTTTGAGATTCAGGAATTACGAGTACTTAAATAAGTTTTTTCTTGTAAAGAACACAAAGCTATTTTAATATATATGTATATTTTGTGCGTTTTGCTTATGCGTAAAAAGATTTCATTCTCTACTAAATGAATATGTGTTGAGCTAGGTTTATCGAAGTCCACAAATAAATAAAGCTTTATATTATTTAATGTATGTACCCTATAATTAGTTGAATTCCTTAAAGGTCAATGTAATAATAGTACTTAATTAATTAATTCTAGGTCATTCAAATTGTTATGCGTCTGACACGGTTCATTAGCTTTCTGTGAAGTCATTCGACGTATTTGTAAATCATAATATAATCGATGTGAGCACGTGTCGTATGACAACCTTAGCCTCGATAGAGTTGTTACATCACACGTATTACTTAACTCTACCATTTGACTTGAGTTGGTTTGGTCGGTTATGCAAGTAGGCTACGCAAGGGAAAGCAGGTGAATCTTGCATTTGTTTTCGTAAATCTACATAACCTTTATACTTATAAGGTCACATCTAAAATATTCACGTCTGTATTTTACGATGATTTACCATTTTAAAATTATATAAAATATAGTCCAAAATCATGCTTGGACATTACAGTTTGATAGATGTTCTGGACTGCAATTGTAACTCAAACCAATAACTTACATGCTTCCGAAGCTTAGGATAATAAATTGGTCATCTATTCGATATGATAGCTTTGTAAAATTTGCTTGACCTACGTTGTGCTGCTGAAAGATTATTTTAAGTTAAGTAAAACCGTTTAAGTTATAAATGAAATTTTATTTATAAGAAAAAAATTTTTTAGTATTCGACTCACTTTTAACTCTTTAACGACATTCTGACAAATAAAGTTTCAATTAATTCATAAAACTTTGGATCAAAGATTAATAAACCAATACTTTAGTAAAAGTATTTTATTTTTCGAACATTCTTTGTTGGGTTGAGCTGAAACCATGATAAATGTTCTAACAATACCGAAGATTAAAGTTTTATAAGTGGAAAGTTAAAATGCCTTACTTCCAACAGTTACCTAAAGTGCAAACTAGCTGTTACATTAGATGATTTTCAAACTTCTATTCAATCTACAAACCTACCTTACATTACCTTTTTTATTTGATTTTTCACCCCTTAGTGGCTGATTTTTGAATTGCTTTCTTAGCGAACTAAAAGACATTAGGTCAGAATAACTATTGATGTGCCAAATTTCATCTCGAGTCATCGGTAGTTTGAGCTGTGCGTTATAGATATCATATATATAGATTTTGTAGAGATATTACCTTAAGCTTTCGTATCATAATTTCAGTCTTTAAGAACCAGTAATTTACAAATTCTGAAATACGTATCTGGATTTTCCTTATTCGAACATTTCAAAAACTAGAAAGTTAATTCGGCTACAATTCGAAACCGATTTAGTACTATTATTAAGTTATTAAGCTCTTGCAAAACAAATGACTAATGACGCCGGAATAATCTTATAACCTAAACAGTGAGTTCACGCAGTCGTCTGATACAACTGGCATTATCTAATCAAATAATTGGATGAGATGAGAAAGTGCAAGTGCTGGGGAAGTAAAAAATAACAATAACAAATTGATTGTGAAAGTAACATTGACATTACTGGCCAATTAACTTGAGGTCTGTTGCGTAACTCGGAGACAGTAGCTGTGCGGCTGTCAACGCGAAAGTGCTTTGTTCACTATAAATGGTAAACAAAACTTACGTAAATGCGCTTCTCAGGACAAGATACCTGCTTCTTATGTAACGAAAGCTTTAAAAAATGATCTCGCATATTAACGTCGACCTACATTCGTTTCGATAGTCGTATTAATGTTGCCAACAAGTGTAACATACACGCAATCTTCCGGTTGTGAATATATCCGGAAAAGAGCGTGAAAGTATCTTGTGTTAGAAATGAGTTCAATTATTACTTTTTAAGGGTTACTTTTTAAACTCGAATAATTAAAATTTGATTGCAATCTCACAGCTATGTTTCTCATAAAATAATTTATAGGAAATATTCATTTACTCTTCGATAAATTTGTCAGAATTTTAAATGAATTTATCGTTAAAATCCAAGGGACTACTTTGTCTACGAACGAAAATTCAGAAAATTTCTAATCGTTCTTATAAAGTTTTTAAAACTATTTCCGTGTAGATTATCTGTGATATATCAGAGGCAGAGTATGTTCTCCCTCTGCTGGATCATAAATTATCGAAAAATCAGTTCCTTAAAGTCATATTAGCGTTTTGCAAATAGACGAAATTTCATTTTTAGAGAAATAGGCAACCTTCTGCTGTTTTATTACGTTAAAATATTAACTGATAAAATATATTATTCCTGGATTGTAAAAAGTCATGAGTGCCAGGGACAAAGTGAGTTTTTTAAACATTTTTCATTAAGAGTAGGATATACTTTCTATTTATATCGAACTGGCTTTTCGCCAGTGGTTTCGACTGTAATCCTGTATTATATACAATATACATTCCTCTTGAATTACTGTATATTGATGAAAATCGCATTAAATCCATTGTGTAGTATAAAAGACCTCGGCGTACGTACAGCGGGAAGCAACTTTGTTTTAAACTATGTATAGATATATGTTTCTCTAATTTCAGGTGTCATCAGGCAACAGGACGCAGCGTTTTCTGTTCGATGCGATTTTTGGTTTGGAGGTGCCTATTCTAGAAGAGCAGAGCGTGGAAGAGGAAGACGATGATTCTACTGTCAAGAATTGTTCATGCGGTAAGTTTCTCGAAGTTTTCTATAATCTGAACCGCTCTTGACCTACTGAGCTGTGCTCTTAACATGAAAATTATCGAATGATAATCAATTTCATATCGAGTATATGCCATTATTTATATTGATATTTACATAACGCTATCTACCATAGCAAATAGAACTTCTGATGGTAAAAAATCGATCAGAACTCCATGATTTTTGACCTTGATTAGATAATAGATTTGATTTATTTTAAGGATCTGAGGCTTTAAGGATTTCGTCATTTATATAAATAGGTTGTAAAGTTTTGATTATAATTAGATATAGATACGTATATGCAATAGATAGGAGTAATACTTATTATTATTCTACTACGACGTCCAATACTTTTAATAATTTATATTTTGCCAGTGATTTGTTTGAAATACGTTAGTTTTCATAAAATTTTACGAAGCTATAAGCATTACGTGAAATTGCTTGGATTCATTGAGTTTTCATATTAATTTAAATAGATGAGATATTCGTTAGAGTTACTATCTAGTATTTTTACTAGTTAAATTACCTGGTACTATATACCATTAGTTTCCTTTGTATACCTCATTTTATTATAAATTTTTGAATTATGTGCACTATTGTACCTACGTACAATTTGACACCGAACATATTTCCAGTCAGCATTTGCATCAATTAATATATATTATTACAAATTAGTTCACTATTACCTAACAAGTTTGCTGCGCGTCTCATTTAAATACTTATACCTATTTTGTATCATCAAATCATTAAAATAACATTTAAAGTGTATTTTTTTTCTTTAGAAGTGATTAGTGTTTATCATATAATGATAGGTTAAAATTGATTCTGTTAGCATATGGGTCAGAATGACAAGCCTCCCCCCGAGCGCGTCTTTAAAGTGTATTACGAGTAAATTTTTAAATTTTACCTATCAAGATAAGCGTGTGGTTCAAGAACCTACAAAATATATAACAATATTTTTTAAGTTATTATGAAAAAGAGTAAAATATAGCATTAATAACAACTACGAATAAAAAAGAGGGACATAATTTTCTTTTCACATCGTCTGAGTATAAATTTATTACAATTGTATGTTTAGTCAGGAAGTTAGCTATTTCTTAATATTCATTTTTTTCGCATTCACTTTTTAGAGTGTGGCAGAGCCAATCCACTCCCTAGAAAGATGGGTAAGTTACGTAAGAAATATCCCCGTAGATCCATTGGTGATATTATATGTAGAAAGTCATAATATTAACTCGTAATCGTTTGTATAGTAATCCCTGTATTTATATAATTATAATATGTATTAATATACATAAATATTTATTTTTATTTAACATTTTTTTGTTGGTTTTGAATTGATGTTGTAAATATAATTCCGTCGTTGTGTTATAACCCTGCTTGTTTTTCCCAAGCTAATGTCTATCTGTTGAGCAAAAAATAATGGCGGCGATCAACGACTGTGGAAGAAATTGTGCATTGAACTATGGAAGTGACAGTGAAAGCGTTAGATTTGTCGCAGAGCACGTGTTAATGTCACTGGTACTTTGATATTCATTGTACGAGTAATAATAGTGCTTACATTTTGTGCTAACTATCCGCAGTTTAGTTCGTGAAGAACTATGCTATATCTATGCTTAACATTATGAAGAGGAAAGAGTCGATTTTTTAAGCTGTTTTGGTGAATAAACTCAAAAAATACTGAATTTATTTTGAAAATTACTTAAACAATATATAGCTTCACTTTACAGTAAAAAAAGCTATATCTTATTTTGAAAAAAAAAACGGCACGAATTGTTGCCGCTAGAATGTGATGTTCGAGAAATGCTAAGCAGCAAAAGTCAATTGCAATAACTACCACTATGTAATTCCAATTAAAAGACTAATTAGGTAAACTGTTATTGATTAAGTATTGTAACTTATTTTTAATTGAAAAGGTGCTCTTTATCAGCATCTTTAAGTTGTATCGTATTATTTATATTTTGCGTCCTTTCGGTTCAACAAAGAAAACGTAGTCAGTGGTATAGAAAACGAAAACATCCGCTGGCGTTTTACAAGTACGGGATCGAGTTTCTATCTTCAGACTCAGACTCACTTCCTCGTTGGTTCAAGAAACTGACTTAGGGCTGTCTATTTATCAAATCTGAAGTCATTTATTACCTATATATGACATATTTATATAATTGCATGGCGGTTTTATTTTATTATATAAAGAGGTATAAAGAGGACGTTAAATAAAGAGGTGTTATAACGTGTTATTTTTTTTAATTGTTACTATTTTAGATGTTTCGAATATCTTCCTGGCGCCGTGGTCACTAGAGTGAGATATTGGTTGTATTATTAATCTATTAAGCTATTGAAGTTTATGTTACGAAAAGAATTTTGAATTATTGTTAGTTTATAAAATAAGTCTTTTATAAATTGTATTGTGCCAATAGTTATGTGCATTACAGTAAAAGTAAACTCGTACGACAATACAATATAATACTGAGATACAAAGAATGAAAACCTCCTTTTTCAATGAAAACGACTATATTAATAAACACAGAACGTTTAATCTTCGATAAAAAAGAAAAAAATAATTTTAATATAGCTAATATTTGAATTTAATTATAATGAGTGCGTATTGTATTATACTCAAATAAATTTTAGTATTGTATTATAAGCTTATATAGACGTTGATAGTGATGAATGCTTGATATTACATCCTTATATAGTACATAACTAACATAGATGTTTTAGTGTTCCTGTAAACGTCCATACCCTGTTAAACGACAAGAAGTTCATTAACCTTCACTTTCTCCTGTATCCGCAGAGTGCGGTGGCTCCAATCAGGAGAACCGCATCGTGGGAGGCATGCCGGCAGGTACCAATCGGTATCCGTGGATGGCGCGGATCGTATACGACGGACAATTCCACTGTGGCGCTTCTCTACTTACCAAGGACTATGTACTGACGGCTGCACACTGTGTCAGGAAGTATGTGTTGCAAGTATTTAAAATTAAATACTGAAAAATATAAGAATCGAAACAAATAACTCGTTTATGAATAAATTGAAACAATATTTTATCTGAAAATTACACAATGTTACAATATTTTACTGGTGAATAATATTTACGGAAAGTTTGCTTTCAAAGTTTAAAATATAACCTCGTCATAAAGTAACTGCATTAGCGAGCAAAAACACCAATATTTTGTAAACAACTACAACTACTTACTAGTGAAATGCAAAGACGAATAGCTTTATCGGTAAGGAAAATTTATGGACATAATTTTTTTCGAACCAAAAATGGAATAATTATAATTTACAAGAATTAATTTAAATTTAAGTTACAACTTCGTTTTTCTTTCGTCCGCCTGCAAGGCATACCTGTCAATTTTATTAACAACTCGTTAGTATATACTTTATTATTCTTCTAATTTTTAATATGAATGAAATAAAACTAAGGTTATGATTAAAATAAATGTCAAATGTTTCGAAACCAAAAATTGGCACTTTATATAAAGCATTTATGTATCTCTAATAAAAGACTTCAACGCAATTCGAAAAAAGCGCAGTGAAAACAAAAAATATACTTATTGTAAATAAGTCATAGTTATAAATTATTGTCCGGTATGAATTAATATTTTAATTATCAAAATTTCATGTTAATATTGCAGAATTGGCCAATATTGTTTAATCGTTAATTGTCATAAGAGCTTTTTTTAGGAATGGAAAATTAGCAATTTTTATCAATATTCCAGATATGAATTTTATTTTCAATAGAATAACATATCCCAACGATGTAACATTAACTTACAAAAGTAAAGAATAAAAATAAGTTTTTAATTATTTATTGGAAATATTTATATGTCTGTCTGTATTTAATATACAAATAATTACTTTTATTTCATTGAAGCTGTCATATTGTTGTCGATGTCGAGTCCAACGCTGTTTTTATTACAGAATAGCTACATTTGTTTACGTTAGAGTAAAAAAATTGTACTTACAATTGTTATCACGTTTTTTATACCGTTACTGTATTTACAATTCCCATCAATAATTAAATTAATTCAATCTATTTCAGGCTGAAGCGTTCTAAAATTCGTGTGATCCTCGGTGACCACGATCAGACTATAACGACTGAGAGCGCGGCCATCATGCGTGCGGTCACCGCCATAGTGCGTCACCGGAGCTTCGACGCAGACTCTTACAATAACGACATAGCTTTGCTCAAGTTACGCAAACCCGTCAGCTACTCGAAGATCATCAAGCCAATCTGCTTACCACCTTCAAGTATGCAATCAAAACGAAAATGTCATCTTTATCGAAAGTTTCAATATTTGTAACAATATTTCTTTCGGCTGTTTGGGTGGATGCTTGAACATTAATGAGAGTACGCTCTGCAGTAGCGAAAAGTAACAAGTGCTTGAAAGATTCGTCAGTCCTGTTAGGTCCTGTGTAGCTCAGTGGTTAGAGCAGTCGCCCGGATCACGAAAGGTCGTGGGTTCGATTCCCATCTCAGGGTGCCAGGTCCCATTTCAGGACCAAGTGGATTTTGTAAGCATATTGTATTAAGAATAATGTTAATCGATTCTAATCATTTGATACCTTGAGATAATGAGAATAATAGTTAACTACTTTATTGGTGCCACGTACTTAATTTTTATCGAGCCCCGAAATTTCAGCGCTCCACCATGATCATGGAATAACTGAATATCGCGTCTGGATATTATTGCCAGGTATATCGATTTACCCTCTTTCGAGTCCTCTCAAGTTGATCTTGCGGATCATGACGCTTTATATTTAACTAGCTTTCCGCCAGCGGCTTTACCTGCGTGGTCCCTAGAGAACTATTTATTTTTCATGACACGGATATAATTCTTAAATAATTACAATAACAAATTGAATAGTAAAACAGTGATTACTATGGTAACGTTTAAGTTCCCTACACAAACTTCCACTTCCATTTTTATCCCTTTATTTGTTGTTTTTCGGTATAAAATATAGCCTATGTTCACCTCATATGGTGAAGCTTCCCATAGGCAAAAGAATTTTTAAAATCGGTCCAGTAGTTTTGCAATCTATTTGTCGCAAGCAAACAAATAAATAACAACTAATAAATAAACATTTATTGCATTCATTTTTGCATTCACATAACCTTTGATTTAACGTTTATTTAATACTAGCTTTTGCCCGCGGCTTCGTCCGCGTGGTAAAGTTACTTTGAGCAGCATTTCTAATGAATATTTATTCATTATATAGTGTAAAATACCTGAAATAAAGTTCCATCCCCTATTTCATTCTCTTGGGGGTACATATATAATAAATAAAATTGGAGATTCTACTATATTTAACTCTTAATTAAGTTACGAACTTTTATCATTGAATTTGTGTTTATGATATTACTTATTTCAATTCAATTCTCCGGACCTGTTGAGCGGTTATCTAAAACGCCTGATATTTTATCGCATGCATGAGCATGAGCCAATATATTTTTAATGACATGCGTAATGGAAACATTGCAGGCACCGAACCGTCAGGCAAGGAGGGTATTGTAGTGGGGTGGGGCCGTACCTCGGAGGGGGGCCAGTTGCCTGCTATAGTGCAGGAGGTACGCGTGCCCATCCTCTCCCTGAGCCAATGCCGCGCCATGAAGTATCGGGCCTCCAGGATAACTAACAATATGGTAATTATTAGAATGAAATGTGATAGTGCCGTCATATAACGCCCACTTTTTTTGAATACTCACGTGCTAAAAAACAAAATGGAATCGATTGACCGAGGGGTATTTAAAATAAAAAGTGGGCGTTATTAGTACTGGTAGAGAAAGCTATTAGCATTAAGTTCGCCTCTTGTGCCATATCAAAGGTCAATAAAGTCTGTTAAATAAATAAAATCATTAAATACACCTTTTGTAGAGTTCTGTGTAAGCAATAAGTCTACCTATAAATATATAAATAAGAATTGGTGCTAGATCTAATAAAGACTACCTCAATATCAAATGAAACGTAATTCAAAAAGTAATAAAGCTCTTAGTTGTTAAACCTCTAATGCTGTGACATCACTATGTTCGGTATTGCATTTGTTGTAAATAAATATTCTATAATTAGGTATTTCGGATTGCCTAATATTAAGACCTATTGTAAAAAAGTTTAATTTACTTATTAAAGATTCACAAAGTTTTGATACTGATGTTTAATGATTGCAGTTATGTGCTGGTCGTGCATCTACAGATTCATGTCAAGGTGATAGTGGAGGACCGCTGCTGATTCAACAAGGAGACAAGTTCCAAATCGTCGGTGAGTACATAGAATAAAAAGAAGAGAATAAAAAGCTGGTAAGTTTCTTTCACTTGTTCTTCTTGTCAGCCAAAAGACGTCCTGAACAAGTGGTAGGGAAAAAAATATTTTTGGACGATTCAAAAGTGCTTGTAACAAGCTTACTTGAATAAAAACATTTTCATTCATTCAGTACTATAAAAAGACACACCCGGATGCTAAATTAAGAATTTAGAGTTATAAACGTCTCGAACTGTACTTAAACTTCACTTAAACATGTTTCCGTTTCTGATTTTAGTTTTGAACGATCTTGATATGTTAAATGTAAAAAACTTAAGTTATTTAAAATAATCAGTTGAGATTTTGAACTTTTCTCGTTTCAGAAATCTGCTGTATCACTCGTATCTATCTATTGTCGTGTAAAAGTAATTACTTGGGTAACTCAAAAAAATTTGAATATTATTCTTATTAGCTATTGACAGTTCTTAATTTGAAATTCTCTTAGTTAAAAATATTGTCATAAATTATTACTTTTACTCGAGTAATTACTTTTACTTGACTAAAGATACGACTGATTTCTGCCACATCCTCGTCAAAATGAACAGTTAAAACTATCGTAAATATGATATTTAATATTAAAATCAATAAAGAATAAAGGCAGCTTTGTTTTGTATTATATATGCGCAGTTGTATAATCTATCTCGGTTATCTCGGCATTTAATTGATAATTAATAACAATGTTCTCCGAAAGAAATCGTTATTAAACGAGGTGCTATTGTGTAATGTATTTTTGATTGCATTGTTTATTCTTTTGTATAATTTCCATAATGCCTTCGATAACGAGATTTTAGACATTATGATACTTTTGAAGAATTGTTTATCAAAAATACTTTTTATTTAAAACAAGTTTAGAAAACGTTAAGCACCTGTAGAAACGTTATTTGTAACTTAAATCTATTATCTTGAAAGCTTTCGAATTTAGTTTACCATAAATTAAAGTAAAAATACTAGGATCGATAAAACATAATAATTTATATCGACTTTTCTAGATTTGGTGTTGTCGGTAAATTAAACTATTACTCTTTTATTTATAATGGCAATACCGATTTATTTTGCTTCTCTGAAGATGAGTTAGCTATGACCACAATAAGATATAGAACCAATAACATCGATATGAACCAAGATATAATAAAAAAAAATATTTGTCACATTTTGTACTCTCATTTATTGAGATAATAATGTAGAGAAAATAATATATTGCTATGCAGCTGTTGAATTATCAGATAATTTTTAAGATTGAAAGTCGGTGCCGTCATTTTCGAGAAACCAAGTAAATTAAAAATGTGGTAGTTTTGTTTAAGTATTAATATGAAACTCGAAGCTGCGATTAAAATATGTTATCCCAACCTCCTTCGTGCTTCGAAAGGCACCTTAAGCCATTAGTCTCGGCTGCGTCTGCAGTATTAAACATCCACTAATCCACATTGCTCCAGCGTATTGGGTAATGACCCATTCTTTCTATACGGGTGCGGTTCATCTATAGGGAAAGCTTGAGTCCCAGCAATGAGGGCAGGTGATATTGATTAATATAAACTGCCTTAATTAAGAGAAGCTTCACGAAGTTAATATTTTTCACTTTGCCTTTTTTTTAAATACCATTTCAAGCGAAGAGTCTGCTTGGTCACTCTCCGATCCATTGATATTAAATGTACCCGTACATACATAAATATGAATGGTTGCTTTGGTTGCTTTATTTCAGGTATAGTGTCATGGGGAGTGGGATGTGGGCGACCCGGTTATCCGGGCGTGTATACGCGCATCACACGTTACTTGCCATGGCTGCGGGCCAACTTACGGGACACCTGCCTTTGTGCCAATTGAAAACGATATAGTGTATAAAATTATCATAATATATACATTATTATAAGCTAAGCGAACGAACTAAATAACTTTATAGAATTGAAATGTTAATTGTAGGTATGTAAATAAATATTTAAGGATTGGGACACATCGATAAGACCCGGTATCAAAATTTATAAAATATAAACGAGTTCAAGTAATTAAGACCGCTAAACCAGGCGTCAAGTTGTTTTTCTCTACCATCATTTGTATTTGTCGTATTTGAAAATTACTGCTTTTCGGTTTAATGCTATAATTGTTCGGAAGTTGAATATTTTTTTTTTTATAAATAATTCTACGAAAACTAAATATACCTATAAAATATTTTTTTGTTGTTATTATTTTTTATAGAGCACGTTAAAATAATTATTAAATAAAATATTTACAAATTATTTATTTAAGTTCGAGTCAAAACAGTAAATTATGGATTAGTTTTACTTATCACGTTAAGTTAACATCATCATTAAAAAAATCACCTTATCATTCACGACTTAGATTTAATCAAATCTAATGAACTTTCACGTATTTCTAAATTCTCTATCATAATCACGTGTTACCATTCACCATTAGTCATAAATTGGTCGTTTGCATTCTCTCTTGTCATTATCAACTTCTAATTTTTTACCACCATAGTTCTCAATTTTTCATTCCTCAATAACGATCAATTTTTGCTTTCAACCACTATTATTTATTAATTTTTCGATTTCGTTTACCATTAATTGTCAATTTTTAATTTTAAATATTATCCGCTTTTCATTTTACAGTCACTATTGTTCTAATCAAATTTTCATTTCCATCCACCATTAATTATCAAATATAATTTCCACCCACCATTAAAAATCAACTAATCGTTTTCTTTCTCCATTATCATCATCAACGTTTCGTTTTCATTTATAATAGTTATTCATCACCTTTTCGTCTTAATAAATCATTATCATAATTAATTTAATATTAGTTTAACTCATTATTATAAAATGTAACAATTAGTTGTTATTCTTCGGACAGGCCGGTGGTGCAGATTACCAATAGAGATAAGAAAATTATAACTACCTAAGTGTTCAATGTGTTATTTGTACATAAAACTGTATATCTATTTATTTTATTTTTTATTTGGTTACTTTTGATAAAATAAATTATGGTACAGTTAATTATAGTAAAATTAGAAATGGGTAGTTATGTTTTAATTGTTAAAAATGTAATAATATATGTTATAGATTTTAGCGGATATATATATGTATGTTAAATAGTTAAGTTTTATGTTAAATTTTATGTTAAATTAATTCGTAATAAAAATCAGCGCTCTTAGGCTATACCTGTGATCCTTTTTGTTGTAAATTTCGGAATAAAATTATTGTTGATTTTCCGTGTAAGTAGTTCTAGTTTTAACATTTATGTTTTAATTGATATAGTTTGATACGAGTATAATTTATGTTTATTGTTGCAGTTTTTTTCTATGTTGTTTCTTGTAATTTTTTTTTATGTATGGTGCTATACATATTGCTTTTGTACTTAAATAAAATTTAAACTTTTGGGACTTGTAGTTTTGATTGTAAATAGCCACTTAAAACTGTATTATATATATCGCGGTCTGTTCGTCTGTTTATTTAGCTCTAACCTACATATTTTTAATGATATGACAGTAGCGAAATGAAGTTTATGAATATCAGAATTCGATAATAATTATTTTTCCAATATATGTAATACTAGCATCGACTAATAATATAGTAGTTTCAATGTCGTGTCTTCTGAATAATATATTCTTAAGTGATTAATGCATTTTTCTAATAAAGACGTCTTCTAATAAAGTGTCTATAATTTCTAACGCGTTTTAAATATAACGAATGACCTTTAGATTTTTTGAAGTTTTGTTAATGTATTTAATCTTTAATATTTTTGTTTATTTTATTTTTTTTAATTTGTCAGGTTTATAAATTTTTGATATATGAATTCTAAACAACTATTTATGATAAAACAGATGTTCGAATGAAATACAAAGAAGCGGGCGGAGAGGAAACCTCATAATAAATATAATTAACTTATACATCAAATTTAAAATGCCAAACAGCCTGTGTACTTAATTAAAAATTCTGACCAGAGTTAATTTTAAAATCTATCGCAAATTTTTCAATTTGAAATTTGAAAGATCATCTTTAAAAATCACAGGAAATAGGTTTTTAAACCCAGTCGGGTGACGGCAAAATATAAAAACATTTTTTAGCATATTAGCTTTGTAATTATCTACTTATATAATATTATAAAGAGGAATTTTAAAATGTAACAATTTATAATTTGTTTGTATCGAAACGGCTCCGAAACTAATGAACCGATTTTGAAAATTCTTTCACCTACGACTTTCTACATCTTACGCGGGTGAAGCCACGGGAAAACAGCTAGTATTTATATTTAAAATACTTGGTTTTAAAAGTGTATATATTTTTAAATAGTGTAACATCTGTTGGATGTCTTCCTAACTTACAACCACAGTGTAACTCTGATAATATTAATAATAAAAATAAATAATTATTTAATATATACATATGAAGAATATGCATATAATATAAATTTGTAGACACATGAATAAAAAAAATTACAGTAAGAGGAAGGAAATATACTTAATGAACATTAAGTGTTATTAAATTTAAAAATGAAGGAATTAAGTTTTTATATAAAATGCAAAGAAAAAGGTGGCACCAATAAACAGCTTGGCTGGTACTTAGCTTGACTGGTCACGCAATGCGAAGCGAGGACACATACTCCGTAAAAAGTGTCCTAAATATTTCTACACAATCCCGATATTCAACACAGGGAATATGGGCAGGACAAATAAGATAAAATGCAAAGAAACTCAGTCTCAGGAGAAGGAGGATGGGCCATGCCCTCAATGCTGGTTAACGAATGCAAATGCAGCCGGGATCAACGGCATAAAGTGCCTTCAGAAGCACGGAGTAGCTCGAGATAGTCATGTTTTGGTCATCCATTCCGTGACCGAACTTTAAGAAAGTTCTATCTACTACAGAGCTATTAAACTAATATAAAATTGTTGAAAAAAAAAATAAAGTACTTACTTTCTGGTACAAATTAGATGTTTTTTTTCTTGTGGTTCGAGATAAGACTCTACAGGCATATCACGTGCTTCATAAATTTCACACTTTCCAGTTTAAATTGTAGAACAAATGTCAAATAACTAAAGGCAGAGAGACCACTTGCATAGCAAACGCCTACTTACGTAGATTGTAATTCGAATAAAATAAATATTGGTGCCAAATATTATTCAAGTGTATAAACATATCGAGATGTAGGCCTGTAGTTTGTTTAATCATTTTAAAAATGAAAGGCGAATGAAAAGTATATATATATTGCTATAAATATCTATGGTGTTCAAGGTAAAAATTCTCTGACCCCAGGCGCTCTATGTCGGGGCAAAGTAAAGTAAAAAATAATTATACTTAGATCGGGACGCAGTCTGACTTACTTAAAATTTGTTTTTCTCTAGATAAATTAATTGATTTATTGTTAGACAGCATTTTAGTTATCAGGAAAAGTATGAAAAATAAACGTTGATAATGCAACCTTCTCAAGGGTCCGGCACGGGATGGGTGACCAAAAAATTTGTATCTCAAGTAGAGCCCTTGGTTCCGATTGCATTTGCAGTCATCAATACGCTCCAATCCGCTTCGGGTCAGCGTAGAGGGTCATGACCCATCCTCCTTAACCATCCATAAGGAAGGCCTGAGCTCCTGCAGTGAGGACGTGAAAGGGCTGATGATGATATTTATATTAAGCCTCCAAAATTTATATTATTTTTTGGGAATGTTCCCCTATAGTTAGCAAATAGAGTCACAAACTTATAAAAAAACAGTTTGTGACTCTATTTGAATACATTATAATTAAAATCATCGTATCGGTGGCGTAGTGGATAAGCACCGCGGTCCGCGATCGTAGTCGTTAAGCAACTTTCGCTAGGGTCGGTCACGGGATGGGTGACCAAAAAATTATTATCTCGAGCTACTCCGTGCTTCGGAAGGCACGTTAAGCCGTTGGTCCAGGCTGCATTTGCAGTCGTCAATACCCTCCAATCCGCATTGGGCCAGCGTGGAGGGTCATGGCCCATCCTCCTTAACCATCCATAAGGAAGGCCTGAGCCCCTGCAGTGGGGACGTAAAAGGGCTGGTGTGTGTGTAAAATGATCGTAATTACAGATTCTAAAACAATAGTCTAGTTTACATGGCGTCCATGCGATCACCCATAGGCTGATTCCGTATATCGCGTTCGTAGGGAGGGACCTCGGTGGGTTTTGGTCTTAGAAAGCGAGGTATGCAGTAATGCATTTTATTTCAAAAATGCCGGTTTCCTGCCGGCAGAGATCGCGCTTAAAACATTTACCAATGAATGAAAAAATGTATAGGTTAGGCACGAGCATAGAAAACACTTATAATAATATACCTATCTTAAATACTTCATCATCAGCTTTTTTACGTCGCTATTGCCTGCAGTGAGCCTAAGGCCTACCTAGTTAAAGAGTGTGGGCCATGACCCTCCATCTCCAACCAATGCGGATTGGAGAGTATTAACACCGGAACCAACGTCTTAACGTTGGTTAACAAGCACAGAGCAGCTTGAGTTAATATTTTTTTGGTTACCCATCTTGTGACCGACCCTTGCGTAAGTACCGATCGCGAATCGCGACGTTTATCCACTACGTCACCGACCTACTTTTGTTACTTAAAAACAATATTTTTATTAATTTCACTAACGGTAAGTGATTAATTTTTAAATATATTTTAAGTCAAACTATTATAAAATTCTCCTCTTTTAAACGGAAAAACTCTTAAGTTTTATTCATAACACAAAAACATGTTTTGCATATTGATACACCTAAATTTAAGCGACGATGTCTTGTTCCAAATAGTGGACGTGTGATGACGTCAAAATTTCCGAATCCTTCAATTGTAGGGTGACTATAGATATTAAGATGGTATTTAATTGATATCGATTAGGAAATAATCTAGAACATTTTTATCCAATTTTTGAGAATTGATAAAAATAACTCGATTTCTACGAAACCAACTTAATTGAAATTTAGAACAATTGTGTTCATTAAATATTATGTATTCAGAAGTTAAGCATTGCTTCTAAAAACTGAACTAGCTTTCGCCAGCGGCTTCTCTCGGATGCTCCCTAGGAAATCGTTTAATGGCATAAAAAAGTAACCTTTATGTTATATTAAGATTTAGAACTATCCGTATACCAATTTTATTAAAATCCGTTCAGTAGTTTTTTGCGTGAAATAGTATTATACATTCATACATCCAAACAAACTTTCAATTATGAAGTAATACTAAGCATATATATTGGGTCATTTTATTAGCATTGCTGATAGTTCAATAATAAATAAAATATTAATAATAAGCGAAAACAATAATTTCCACATGGAACTAATACTCAAAAGAAACTGGTACCTTGCCACAGTAAACAAATGTTTGTGATGAGCTGGCCACCGATTAGTGATGTGTTAAAATGTTAATATGTATTAAGATAAATAAACGATTTAAAAAAAATCCATGATGCATTACGTGACGTATTGTAATTTGGTCACCCTACCCCAACCAAATGACACACATCGTTATGTTGATGTATACAGTGACCAATGTTGTCAGTGCTGGCGCATCTCAGTGTGCTGTGAGTCCATTGCGTGCGCGCGCTACAAATCTGCTTTCGTACAATCATGCGCCAGCTGTGCGCGAAATTATAAAGTCGAATTTTTATCATTTTTTTTTCGTTTTAAATTTATTTAGAATTTTACGACAGGAACGACAATGTGGAAGTGTATTATTTTCGTTCTTGCGGTCACAACTTTCACTTGTTCTGAGGTTGGTGTCAATTGAATACTTTCATTAGCATTTATTAATATGTGAAATTAAATTTCTATTATGCATTTGTATATTTTATTTATTAAATATAGATGCAAATTATTGAATCGGTATATATTTTTTAATAACAGAAAAAAAAACGGTAAACTCATACATTGAGTTTGGATTTGAAATGAAATCCGATACGATTTGATTGATTGATCTATGGTATTTTTTAAATATTTGGTTTTGTGTGAAGTGATTCAAGTGAAATTATATTTTGTATAAAGCAATTATTAATATTTCATACAAAGTATGTCCGCATATTTTTTATTTTTTTTTTTATTTTTATAGGGCGACGAGGTTCGCGAAAGTCGACAGGTATTCACTAAGAACATCTTCGGTGGAGTTTGGGGGAATCGCCCCCCTCTTATCGAGCTAAATCAACCAAGAACTACATGCAATTGCAGTCAGTAGTATTTTTTCATAATCTATTTTTATACTAATACTGATTGATGCGTAAGATGCATAAGGCTGCCTACATTTTTATTTGTGAATTTAGTGTTTATATTCAAACTTAGTATTTATATGTAAATTTGGAATACAACAAAATAGTACCAGTTATAAAAATAAACATTAATCTCAGACGGGACACGAACCAGCATCTGTTTCATTCGTAAAACGAAATATTATCAAAATCTTGAGTTTATCTTTTCTCCATAGATCATGGCTCACTCACTTTCAATTAGTTTTGTACTTATTATCAAAATAATCTGTAATTATAAATGCAGAAACTACGTTATATAGGCATGGGAGCGTTCTCACACAGCCAAAAGGATAATTAATGAAATTAAAAAACAACAAAGTTACCCCTAAAATTCACCTGTAGTAAATAAAATACTAAGAAACCATAATCACTAAACCAACATGGATATTGAGGTCAATTTTGTTTTTACCTATTATTCTCGAAGTAACATTAAAACTTATTTTAATTGAGTTTCTTTAACGTCTCCTATAACGTAGTTTTGTTATCAAAGAAATATAATATTGTTCTTGTACACTATAATGATAAATATAACTTAGTTATTTTTCGAATTTAAAAACGTAGTTTGGCGACAGGATTGTTAACTTTAATGTCATCCTATTGATTATGAAAAATGTGGTCAACATAAAGTTAAGTTTGAAATAGATTTTAGGCAAATTCAGCATAATATTACTTCATAAATTTATTTAAAAAAATCTATGAAAGTGAGTTATTTTATATTTAATGTGTAGTTAAGATCGACGTGTGAGTCGAGCTTTCAAGCTTAAATTATGTTTAGCAATTTACACAAATAGTGCCAGGTTTCCCGCTTTTTGTTTACATTGAAAACATTCACGATAGACTATAGATATAACATAAGTTAGCGCGGAGGTGTCCATGTAAACTTATAGGTAATATAAATCTATACGCACACCGGTGATTATTTTACATTTCTTTGAGAGTATAAAAAGAATCACCGTGCTCTTGTCGTATATACAACGTGTCCCAAAATTCAACGATAAGCGGGCGCCAAGAGGTACCCTTGCTCATGTGTACTTATGGAAAAATAAGAAAAAAATTATATCTTATCTTTTTTATTATAAAATTAAATTCGAAAATCTTCGAAAATTTACACCTTTTATGATATTTTCAACTACCACGACCACAACTTCTCAATTATGTTCAATCTTTTTTTGGTATCGGATACCTAAGTAGCACTACTATTCGCTACAACTCTTTCGAAAATTTTCGAATTTTATTTTATAATAAAAAAGATTAATAAGATATAATTTTTTTCTTATTTTTCCATAAGTACACATGAGCAGGTCTACCTCTTGGCGCCCGCTTATCGTTGAATTTTGGGACACGTTGTATATAAAATCTCATAATTGTTATGTGTTCAAGTGTACTCAACGACCGCAAGGATCCATAAGCACGGTGACACGAAGCAAAATATTACAGTGACTTAAAAGTTACCAGAGTGAAACCTGGGATTCATTCAAAATTGTAGATATTTAAATTAATTGTAATAATACAACCTTTTTTTTTCCGATAGGTAAAATTTTGAAAGGCTGATAAGCCTTTAAAATTTTTTGGCTGATAAGCCTTTCAATTTTTTTGTGGTTGTAGAGAAGAATGTAGAGCGACATAAAACTTCCTTTTTTTATCTTTATCCTATTAATATTATAAAGGCGAAAGTTTGTAAGTATGGATGTATGGATGTTTGTTACTCTTTCACGAAAAAACTACTGGACGGATTTGGATAAAACTTTACAGCAATATAGGTTATACATCAGAATAACACATAGGGTACTTTTTACTGGGAAAACTTCTCACTCCCACGGGATACCGACTTCCACGCGGACGAAGTCGCGGGCGTCCACTAGTTATAATATATTACTTTTAGTGAATTATAGAAAACCTAGATTACCGTCAGTAGCTTCTCCGGCGTGGTCCCCAGGGAACTGTTTATTTGGATAGTGATTCATATCATGATATGGATATATTTACAATAAAAATTTAATAGTACACAAAAATTTAATAGTAGGTAACGGTTTAATTCCCTATATAAACTTCCACTTTCATTTTCATCGTTTATTTGCTGTTTTTCAGGATAAAATATAGGTTCTATGTTCACCGCATATGCTGTAGCTTCTTTTGATGTCTTCAAATATATAAATATGTCGTCAAAGCTTTTTTAATTGGCAGAAAACTTCCTTAATATTTTCTTATATAATGAGAATTTCTAAAATTTTGTCTTTAATTCGCGGAGAAATCAGCGAACATTCGTAAAAAAACATACCTATCTAACATAATATATATTCTGTGCAAAATTTGAAGTCCGTTGAGAAATTATCATATATTAAATATTATTCAATTTAATGTTGATTAAAATTTAGAATTCCGATTTCAGAATGTGGCGAAAGAAATGAAGTATCTCGGATTGTTGGAGGCGTGGAAGCTGGCATCAACGAATTCCCATGGATGGCGCGACTTACATACTTCAAGAGGTTCTATTGTGGCGGTATGCTCATCAATGATAGATACGTCCTAACTGCTGCTCACTGTGTAAAAGGGTAAGTAATCCTATGTTTATTTATTATCAAACTTTATTAACTGCGGATGACGGTTTTAAATGTTGACCGGTAGGGAATATTATTATTATCATTTACAATCTTTATTCTATTCTTTTTATTTTTTATATAATCACCATACACAACAGTACAATCAAAGTAAATCTATTCCAGGCAACCGTTCAAAAGTACTAACTTCATTGTAATTTATAGAACTATGTATGGTGAAATAAGTAAGTTAAAAATATTCAATATAGCTATAAAAATTACAACAAAGAATATTTTTTGTTGTGTCCATTATTTCACTAAAACACTTATACTATTGAACTTTCAATATTTTCTAATGTAACGCTGATACTTTATTTTAGATGAGACGCATAGATATTATTAGACTTGTTATTATAAAATAACAAGAAAAGCAATTTGTTTGTGTATTGAATAAATATACCTAAACAGATCTTTGATATATTAATGGGCGTGTTCATTTCTCAGTTACACTTTGTAATTACTTCATTTCAATCGTTTTATTATTGTTATGATTACGAAAATATTTTTTATAGTCTCGATAAGCGTAAATGTGTGAATTCCGGTTTCGAAAAATGCATCTTGAATTTGATAACTCAATTATTGCGGAAGGTTATGGTTATTTAAAATCACGATGTACAACCCTCAAGTGCCGGCGGATGAAATGAGACGATTTTTAGTAACTTTTTTCTAATGCTAGGTAATTTGTTAATTTTTCTATTTTGTTAGAAAAACTGACAGATTCCCAGACTTTGAAAAAGAAACATCAGACACATAGCCAAACACAGATTTGTCGCACCATAGAGATTTAATAAAGCTTTTATTTAAGTGTCGATTTGATTGACCCTCTACGCCAACCCGTCCCAAAGTGGGCAATAACGCCCCCTTGTGGGCGTTACGAGTCTAAAGGGGGGCGCAAAATACGCAGAAGAAAAATGGGAACGTTATATAGAGGCTTAGAGGGCGATTTGTTATTTTATCTACGAGGACTCTTCGACACTGACTGAGCTTTCGACTATCGACTACAAGTTGTGAACATCAACTAATAATATTAATTAAGAGATTGCTCATAACTCGGTCAATAACTCTGTTCTATATTTCTCTACGTGTAATTATATATGCATATATTATCTGTCCTGTTTAATTGAATAAATCAAATAAATTTCATGTCAATCGGGCGCTCGGTTTAAAAGTTTTGTTTAGAAAGAATTTATAATTTCCGCTAATATAACTCCCAATAATTAATGTAATTTGAAGTTATAGTGGTTTTTAAGTAGATGAAAAAATGGGGACGCTTATTTTTTTTTTCTCAAAGTGGGCAGTAGACGACATAAGTTTGGGAGCCCCTGTTCTAAGCTGTGGCACCATTGTCTTTGACGTTGTGTTCGACGTTGCTTACTGATTAGCGAAGCTAGTTAAACTTTAAGAGGAATTGTTTATAGATAGACACTTTATAAACAATAAGCCAATTTGAATATCCTTTTCATTGGTTTTAAAAATTATATCGTTTCATTATAATTTCATGAATTATTACCATAACAAACCAATTATAACCAATACACTAAAACCTTCTTCACTAAAGGAGAGCGAATAAATTTAACTAACCATTGTCTTCGATATTAATATCAAATGAAGCGTAACCACATATAAACTTCAAAAACATAAACTGTAAATTTATGAAATTTTATTGATAAAGCAAACGATATTTACTTTATAAAATGAAACGATATCTTTTCTTGTCCTTGTTTTCTTCATAATATAATAGTATTTGATATGAAAGCTCGTTATTGAGTGCTCTCACTGATGTTCCTGCCCCTCACCTTCACACTTAGTACTGAGTGATGTACCCTTAGTACTTCCACTTACTGAAATATAAAGCTTTCGAAAGCTCTTGCATATTTTTTGTCATGAGTTCTCTGTCTATATGTTTTTATCGGTGTCATTGGTGATTTGTCTCGTTTCTTCTTCCCTTTGCACGTTCTTAATTACACCGTTTAGTTGTGATAATAAATCGATTGAAAACTTTATGATAAAAAATGAAAAAAATGTTAGTCCTTCCATTATTTTTTTAGGGTTAAGTATTGATAAAGGACCATATTTATAAAAACAATTGTACTAAAAGTCAAAACTGATATTTTAATATTAATTTCAATGTTAATTTTATTTAACGCATATCAAAAAATCGTCAACCTCCGGGTACATGTTATTTTTTATATGCGATATTAGTGAGTTATTAGCGCTAATTACATTTTTTCCTGTACATTAATATTATTAAAAGTAAAATAAAAATACAATTTAGAATATACTACTCTTATAATAATAGGTATTGGGGAAATTCAAATATCATTTTGTCAACATAAATAACCGATTCTAAAGTGTTGTGAAATATCTGAAGTGTTTAAGAGGAGCTCTCCAAAGTATGATGACATGTAATTTGTATACCTTGTGGAGGAGAATAAATCAGCAGCTCTCTGACGGACCTACGGCTTTCTCGAGAGCTATACTATCGACATTGTACATATATAAAATGTTAAACGTTTTATGATTTACACTACTAGCTGTTATCACGCGACTTCGCCCTCGTAAGATGTTGAGATAAGCTCAAGATAAATAGTTAAAATAATTGTTAAAATCTGTCCATTACTTTCGGAGCATATTCGATGCAAACAAACAATCTAGTGTTATTATTTTTGAGATAGAATTAGTTCTTGAAAATAAAATAAAAATGAATATTGTAGCTGCAAAGAAATTGAAATAAATATACTGGATTATTGTAGGAGTAGGTTTAGAAAAAATATTTTTTTAAATTAATAACTGAAGATTCTAATGGAATACAGAACATTCTTAAAGAAGTCTATAGTTTATAAAATTTATTGTTTTAACGTAACCTTAAATTTTCAAGTGACGATAATATGTCGTTGATGCACGTTATGTTATAATAGGTATATGTTATAATAGAAAATAAGAATTTTAATAAAAACTTTTTATAAAAAGTAGAACCGACTAAAAACTTTAAAAAAGTGATAACTTATACTTATCTCAAAAGCGACTGATCAAAACAAAGTGTTGTGGCATACGACTACGTTGTCCTTTTGTCATTGCTTTTATAATATAGCTATCATTATAAAACGATTGATAAAGTCACATTAAAAATAAGGTACTGTCGCTTAATAACGTCCACTATTTTCAACCCCTGGAATACTAAAAAGCAACTAGCATATATCTTACTAATAGGCCCACTGACAGATCCTTAAGGACAAAATAATTTAATTTGAAGCTGTATCAGATAGTTTTTATCACTTTTGAATGTGGATATTATTAGGCGACAATATCTTATTAAGGGTCGGTGCAAATCTGTAGAGGAATCAGTTAAGCGGCTCTCGGAAGAATGTTAGTGCGCGACAGACCATCCGTCGAGTGTACAAGGTTGAATGTCAAGTAGCAATATTATGAAAATTTGTTATATTTGTATGTTTGTTAGTAGTAAATACTGATCCGATCATGAATTAAATTTCACCTACGGGAAGCTACAACATACGCTGGTGTTATAAAGTTGCAATTTACAAGTGCTAAGTCGCGGGAAAACAGCTAGCATCATATAATTTGTCATTTCTGAAGTTCCTCGACGTTTTGAGACGTTCTTCGCTCAGGTATGAACTCGTCCTAAGTATGATAATTTAGAGGACTATAAAAAAGAAATTATTCTCAATCCGTTCATTTATGATTTTATAAATTAAAATGTTGTAACTTTAGCTTACGTCATTTGATAAGTCGTAACTATTACAACTTTACTATAAAGTGTTATTGTTGTGTTATCTGCTGCAATTATAAGTTCCTATATCGACATAAAAATCAAATTTACATTCAAAAATACAAAATACAATGGGCTCTTAAGTGTGAAGCAATTAAAGTATTAATGTTTAGGCAATTAACTTTGATATATAATTTTTGAAGATAAAATGAAAATTAGAAAAACTATTAAGGTTAAGATTAAGTTAGGTACGCTTACGATAGGCAAACGTGATGGGTAAACAAACTATGGATCATTGTAATCTACCGATTTAGGTTAATGAATAATCAATGGCAGTTTAATTATTAAAAAATCATTTGCACTGGTGTCAGGGATTAATGACGACCATTTTTCCGTAAGAAGTTTCGTGTTATGAAGATATAGATAAAACTATTCTTAATTCTTCGATTTAGGTGGAACGATGGACGAATGCAGATTATTAGTAACTGCAGAAAATTAAATAGTTAATCATTCAAAAGCGAGTCCGATAACCTGTGTGTATTAGCATACAAGTCCAAAATTAATCCGATTTAGTGAATTCCATTCGATAGGTGTCTTTTGGTGCGTTCACCTTCAAACCGGACCGGTCAGTGCGAATTTATAAGTTCATTATCCTCAGAATATCTCCATTTTGGATATATGTGCCTTTTGTGCCAACATTTGTTTTAGGGAAATCTCTCGGGCGTCATTGTGGGCATGCTAAATGCGTAGTTTCAAACGATTTGGCTGTTGTCAGAATATTACACCGATCAGTTTATATTTTATCATTACCATCGAGTGACATACGAATTTCGTTTGGTATTGCAAATATCAAGATTCGACATCAGTTGAGTAAAAGGAAATTGATTTTAAATGGATTATATTTGATATATTAGCATTAAAAATTTAGTAGAGTAAATACTTCACTTATCACCCTGGAAAATTTGACAATAACCTTAACATATGGATATGGCCAAATTTAGTTATAAAGCCGTTTCGGGTAAAAAAAGGGCCAAATTTTCGTTTGTCACCACTGCGACTACTGTTCGTTGATGGTTTTTTATTTGCTTCAACTAAGTTTGAGAAATTCCAATGTTTCATTAAGTTTATCACAGCTTTTTACAATTACTCCAATAACAGTTCTGACCTTACCTTTATAGACATGGGATATTAAACATGTGATATTTTAGGAACCCCTTAGATCAAGATCTGTATATTTACATTCAAAAGTGTGAGTTGGTGCAATATTTTCAACACATAAGACTTGATATATCAGATGTTTTCTCAATTGTAAGTCCAGTTAATAAAAAAAATTATTAGATTTTTAAAATTACGTTTATAAAAACGCAGAAATAGATTTCAATTCTTTAGTTTCAGTTTTAATATTATTATTCCATAAAAACACTACTAGTTATACAATGTAACAATTCCTTTACATAAAATTAAAATTTAAAGAAATATGCAGATGCAAAAGTGAGTGAAAGTGCAAATGAGGCATTAAATATTATTCAAGTGGATAGGTACCCACAGAAACATTGAGTCACTTTCGCCCAATGCCAATACAAACGAATCCATTGTGTAATTGACACCGTTACATATTGTATGGATAGAGGAGGTGTAATTGAATTATTTAAACGGGGAATTAGAAAACTAATACATGTCTTCAATATGAGAGTTGCGTCACAGAAAAAGGCATTATGCTAACAAATGTCGAAAGGCAACTAATTGTATTGGTATGAATACATCATGTATATTAGAAGCGTGTAGTTTAAAGTATGGTGTGCATCATAAGTAAGTTTATATTCCCTTGAAACGGATTACAAAAGAAATGAAAGGTTAAGAGTACGTAGAAAAGTTGAAAGATTACCGAAAAAAAATATTTGATGAACATTTATAGTATGAAGAATGAAGATTTTTTGCATAGAACAATTTAACAGCGGTAATTTGTTGTATTGGTGGGGTATTCAAATAATGGCAGTATTTACATACAGTATCGTCAACAATCTCCAATTGTGTTCTTAATGAAAAATGCTTAAAAATCCACTTTGTCTCTGTCACTCTGAGATGAGATCCCACTTCAAAATACCAGGGATTTTCCAGTGTAGCATTGTTAATACAAAATTGATCAAATATAATAATTCTCCAATTAATTTCAAATCTTTTTTAAACCCAAAATTTATTCTGATAGCCAACTGTCTATACAAAAAAATTATTATATTATTATGAAGCATGTTATATTTTCATTTTCAGATTTATGTGGTTCATGATAAAGGTGACATTCGGTGAGCACAATCGATGCAATTCTACCACCAGGCCGGAAACCCGCTTCGTTTTACGTGCCATTTCTCACAAATTCACTCTTAGCACCTTTGACAACGACATCGCATTGCTGAGGCTTAACGAAAGAGTGCCCATCACTGACGCTATTAAACCTATTTGCTTGCCATCTATAAAAGGTGAGTAGACAATCTATAATATATAAGATGATCTATATATATATATAGTGTAGTACTATATTTATATATATCTAAACAACTAGTTATTTTCCCGTGACTTCCCGCGTAAATTACAACATCTACGTCACACGCGTATAACGTAGATTCCCGTAGGTAAAAGAATTTTCATAATCAGATCAGTGTTTCCAAAGATTACTCCCAAACAATGTTAGAAACTATATCTCTAATGTCAGTAAAGATGTCTGTTTAAAAGTGTTGCTAAATGCAAAACTTAACAGGATTTAAATTAATTTGATATGCTTTTTTTTAAACACATTCTTCTAAGTCCGAAAAAGATTTTTATGGAGAGAAGTAGTTGAAAATATTAAAAATAGTACTTTTCCCATACAAACTGGGCGGTACGTTTTTCAAGTTTCCCGGGCCATATTTATTTATTCTATAATTGACAATTGAAAAAAAACGCATAAATAAGTGCAACTAAAAATTGTTATAAACTGCTGAGAACATTCACAGTCGGCCGCGTGTGCCGAACGCTCTACTATAAAATCACATTACAAAATGGTACATATGGTACATATTTTTGAGCAACTTAATATCCTTTTAAAGTTCAACTTAATATATCTAACTCCTTTTGAGGTAGGTTATATTTGATTGAACTTCCACGCTAAAGCAATGTTGCGCTTGACATCGAGTTTATGGCTTATTTTATAAAAGAACAACACTGCAGATACGTAAAAAAGCAAAATAAAATAAATGGTTAAAAGTCGTAGCGAAATGTTATTTCTGATATTAATTATTTAGTCTGCACATAGGGAACTGGATAAAAATCAGATAAAATTTGTTTGATTTAAAGATCATATAATTTAAATTTAAAAATTCGTTGAATGTTTAATACTTAAATAATAAGATTTCAAAAATACCAATCAAAATGCGTGATGTCATATCTAGGAAAAGCGCGGGAAGCCTTCTGTAAGAAATGTAAAAGGATTAATGTAAAATAATTTTAGTGAATGTTTCTAAGGTTTGAACAATGTTGATGAATATTGTGTAGAAAATTTTATTAGGAAATAAAAAGTTTTCCTACTTTTTTATATATTCAAAAAATTTGAATGTATAAATTCGGATTACGATTTCATTTTTCTTCAAAAGTTGATAATGGCGAAACCTCAAATATAAGGAAACTGAAATATATCTTATCTTTTATTTCACTTCCTTATAGTAGTGAAAGGCCCATTTAAATTCATTTAACACTGAGTCGCACTTGACAGAGAAAGTCCATTAAGTGTACCTACTCGTTGTTTTTTACGAGAAATTCAATCACTGTCAGTGGGTAATGCAATTGTGCATTCTATTTGACCTAAAGTTCACTCATTAAATTAATTTAGCTTTATCCCAACCACGATATTTTATTTCAAGTTTGTACAATGACATTTTCAACTGTCACTTATTATATTACAGATCGAACTTACCTCTAAGCAAAAATTACCTTACCTTCAGCAAAATTTGACTGTATAGATATATACATCTTTCTTTTCATAAGGAGGTCGACGGTTGGTTGTAATTACCGTTTTATTGATTTGAATTCAAAATCATAGATTTCTTTTTTAACTAGAAACGATTTTTTTTTAAACTACAGAGGTGGCTATAATTTTTAAGAAATTACAGTTGAGAACTTACTAGCTTGAAAATAGTTTTTAAATTATTTTGAGATTGTTTTGATTCGGTTTTAGTTGTCAATGGAAAAAGATGGAATCTTTAACTTTTGGTGACAAAGACATCGCCATGATTAAGACGATATACGTCTTTCAGTTAGTTTACTGATTCAATTTCGATCATCTCAAGAATATATACTCGTACTTTCAAATAAAAAAAATGAAATCCGTCCACAATTTACATTATAATTTATAAAATCATTCATTTCTTTTTTGAAGATGTTGTGATATTATTTAATGGTATTCTCTTATTTTCTTCTAAGATAACTTGTACGTTGGAGTACAAGCGTTGGCTGCCGGCTGGGGCTCTTTAACTGAAGAAGGAAAGGTGTCGTGCACCCTACAGGAGGTGGAGGTACCTGTGATGAGTAACCAGGAATGCCGTAAAACTAAATACACTGCGTCTATGATCTCAGATAATATGCTCTGCGCTGGATATCCACAGACCGGGGCGAAGGATTCTTGCCAGGTAAAGTTCTTTTGAGGTATATAATGTTATTAACCTCTTTAACCATCGATAAGAAATTCCTGAGTTGCAATTGCGACGTAACAGGGCTGTTATTGGACAATAAGGTAGTTGTTTAAGACCCAATGTATTCAATGGTATGAAAATTAGGAAAGACATTTATTTTCACAGATAAAAGTTAGATTCTTAATATAGGTTGAAAAATATTATATAATATTTTATAACGCAACTTTTAAGTTTTCTGCGTTACGTACATAAATACCTTTATTTAAGAGGGTCAACGGGCTTAGTACAAAAAAAAAAATAAAGTCCTGTAAATAAAAATAATTAGAAACTTTTTTAGATGCACAATTTGTCATTTTTTGCCCTATCAAATACAAATAAAGAGAGATAATCTATTGACATTATTTCCTCTCTTAATAATTCAATTAACAAACATTTTTAAAATTCGATTGTATATTTTCGCTACTGTTTTTATATCTCCAATTAAGATATTTTAAATTACATAATGATTTTGTAATATGTTCCAGGGCGACAGTGGTGGACCCCTCATCACCGAGAGAAAGTTCGACAAGCGGTACGAACTAATAGGTAATGAATGTTTATGTATACATGACACAACTGGTTATTGTGAGTAATGCTAAGATCCTCTTTTGTTGCATAATTATCAGTTTCCTCTATACTTTTAGAAGCTGCCAGTCAGTGTAATATAGATCTTATCAGTATACGCATAACTACCTTCTATCCTTTTTTAGTCCTTATCTGCGCAGCTTTTCTTCGTCTTTCTCGTCATTCATCCATCAAATTTAGAAACAACTAGTAATTATCAGCGAATTTAATTTCATATTCTGCATTATTCTTTCATTTTCGGGTACAGAGATAACAACTCAAGACATAGTCATATAGTCTGCGTTACAATTATTATTGTTGACGACAGCTTTGCTCTTTAGAATTTTATATAAGTTTGTCGTTTTACTTGTTTTACGAGCTTTTGCCCGCGACTTCACCCGCTTTGTGTAGTTACTTAAGGGCAGCAGATTAAAACAAATAAACTTTTAAACTTTCGCGTTGCATTATATTGGATTGTATACAATGGGTATTAACGCGATAGATTTCGAAAGTTAGGTTTTTCACCTACCTATATTTCCCGACTTTTCGAGTCAGCCCTTTGACCACGGCCGGTGTAACCTGGTCTAAAATATTGATTTTTATTGGTGTAAAATACTTGATTTTTATTGGTGTAGTTTCATGATTTTATCTTTGACAATGACGAAGTTCAGTAAAAATTTTAATTGCCTATTTCAACCCATTTATCACAATAAAAGATAACTTATGTCCTATCTTAAAGTCAACTCGGTTCAGTGGTTTAGACATGAGAGCGTAACAGACAGATCTAAAGACTTTTACATGTATAATATAAGTATGGAAGAGTTCTCCATACCGCTCATAGCATCATTTACGAAGTCGACTTTTAATTTTACAGCTGTTTGTATCTAATTGAGCAGATTTAGAGGTTAATTTATTAGTAGCCAATTGGTACATCCACAGAACACGGAATGTGTTCTGTGGGTACATCCGTCATATTGAGCGGCTAGCCCTATAATTGAATAGCGTTATTAATTTGCACGGCTAAACGTCGATCAGCAACAGACACAAAGGCTGTATAAAGTCCGCTAGCAACTGGTCACGATACGAAACACAAATTTTAGTTTTATTTAATTATTCGTCATAATGACTACTTTTTACGTCTCTACTGCGAGGGCTTTCTTCGGACCTTCCTTAAATGGTTAGTTAAACGAGGATGGGCCATAACCCTCCACGCTGGCCCAATACGGATTGAGGGGTATAAACAACTACAAATGCAGTCGGCTTCAACTGGGTCACGTGCCTTTTGAAGCAAGGAGGATAATTTTTCGGTAACCAATCCCGACCCTAGTAAAAATTTCTTAGCAACGATCGCAGGTAAAACCGATCGAACTACTTCAAAATATTTAATTTTATCAAATATTAATATACTTATTAATACCCATGATATTAAAATTAAATTATCTTGATATTTAACTTCGAAGACACCACACTACAACAGAAAGCTAACCCAATTTTTTTTAAAACAGCACGATGTAGAATATACTTAACCTCATCTAGTGAACAGAATTTTTCTTTCGGAAATTAAATGACTTGCACTTAAGTTTATGTTTTATATAGACAATTATGAAAGAATTTAAATTAAATGTTTTAGATATAGGATTAATACAAAGTATTTTATCAGAACCAAAGTCTATCATTGCACAAAAACTATGTAAATTACTCGTAAATTTAAGATAAGCTGTAGTAAATGCTGTAAAAAATTACCTAGTGAAATAATGTTATCAAATGAATTTAGATTTAAGTATGGTATGATGGGGTTGGCATGTTCTAAAGAATAAAAACCCCTTAAAAATTAAAAGAATAAAAAAAAATATAGACAATATTTATATACATAGATTGGATTTTAAAAATATTTTATTTTGTAATAAATAACACGATTACCAATTTTTGTCACAATATAACAAAATCTTCATAAATAATGTTATTTATTAGTTTTCATTATTAGATTTATTACAATGACAAATCAAATTGTAAACAATGGTTGCTATGGAATAATTTTGATTCCCCATAAAAACTTTCAATCTCATTTCGGGATAAATGTTCCCCTAGGAAGGTAATTGGTTACATTTTTTACGTTGATCTTACTGGCAGATGCACAAACGTCTATTAAGGTTTAATAATGTATGAATAATGTCGCTTTAAACAAATGACATTTTTATTTACGTTTGTGCAACTGGCATTTAAACAATTGCAATACTATTTTTCATTCGTTTTACTCTTTTTGGCCCTTCATGGTAGAATTTCCAAAAATCCGTTCTCAGTATGCCGCTGCGTAATAAGACCAGCGGTTTAGGCTGTGCGTTTTCCGACAGTCAGTGCGTTGTTGATGTCTGTCTTGTGACAATTAAAGTACTTCTAAATATATTTTTGCTGTCTAATTTTATCTTTAATTAAATATACTGTCCACAAACTAAGATGTCAACAACAATTATCAAGAATTTCTTATTCACGCACACGCATTTGTATCCAACAGGTGTTGTATCTTGGGGTAACGGATGTGCTCGGCCAGGGTATCCCGGCGTCTACACAAGAGTCACCAATTATCTTGACTGGATCCGAGAGAACACACAAGATGCCTGTTATTGCACAGAGTAACTGTAATAATATCACATAGGCAGCTCAAGATTGAAAAAGGAAATGTATTATACTTTCATTGGTCTCACGGATTTACTTTTAGTAATAAAATCTTAGACTGTTCATCTACTGTATATGGATAGGCAAAAAAATCAGAATTGCTATTATTTAACTGACAATCTTGGAAAATACTCAATAAAGTTTTTGCTCCAGGAATAAGGATGCATCTACCTATATAAAATTTGTATTTAATTAGTGTTAACGGAATAAACGTAACATTATCGTACAAATTAATTAGCTGTACATTAAGATATTTAGATAATGAAAAACAACAAATTAATTAATAAAGTTTTTGTACCATTTTTTCTTGTGGGTAAAGTTTATAAACTCAGATGATTTATTCTGCATTAAAGCACTTTAACATTTGTTATTACTGGTGCTATACATCCATGGTAAAATAACGACGGTCGCATTGCATTTATTTTGTAGTTTGCATTTATTTTAGTTTGGGTTATATTTAAAAGAACATCAAACTAAACTAACCTGATCAACAATACGAAATGTGTACTAAAAACTTTCATAACCTAATAATTTTAGGTTTATATTTATTTTGGTGTTCCAAATAATATTTCCCTGTTTAAGTTTTATCCATACGTCTAAGTACCTATAAGTGATATAATATGCGTATATTTATAAATCCATTGTCAAAGTATTAAAGTCATATTTATTTATTTGAAGAAAATGTACAAAAAGTAGGTTTTGTTAACACTATATACTGTTATTAATGTACACTATAATAATCATAATTTAAATTACAGTATTATTGACGATTATTTGCCCAATACATATAATTACGCTATCCAACATGCACACCTTCGAAAACAAGAAATGTTTATTGGAATGTGCCCTTTGCTTTGGAGCTTACTAATATCATAGAATAAATGATAACCAAATGCCATACAAATAAGTGTCAGTCTCCATATCTTAATTTTAATATTGTATATAATATTTATGATACCAATAAAGTACCTCAAAGTTAAAAACGACTCTTAATTACGTTATCTTATAACAACGGTAGGTATTTCCATTTCATATTTTAACCCCTTCAATGTCTATTTCCCATTTATCTAATGATAGGTGACTTTTGTCCTTTCTTAAGGTTAACTTCTTTAGTAAATTTTACTAAAACTGTTTTCAATGAAAGAGTTTAGAGATTTAGAGATAGGTATTTTCGCATTTATAATATCAGTGTGGGAGAGTTTAATTGTGTATTATTTGCAAATTATTAAATTCATAAATTCTGCCCCAAGTAACCATGCGTACACTGTTATAGACAGTGCTAATTATATGTTTTAAAGTAGCATCTGTGGTAGCATGATGCTATATGATGTGGTACATTAGGCTTACATTTACATAGTTTATTTTTTAGATTGTTTGTACACTTAAATAAAACGTTGTTTTTAAAAATATAATTTAAATTGGATGAGAGTACTTAAACACAACTTTCCATCTTGAATTAAGAATGAATACAACTTATTTATCATAATTTTATCAGAGCAATCTTTTATTTGAAACTGAAATTATGTTAGTGCTTAAAGATAGATACTTCACTGGTCCGCCATTTTAGGTGTTAAGTCTTATTTAATTTATAATTTTTTATTCTTAGGAATTTTGTTGGTGTATGATTTAATTACTATACCGCCATTTTATCCTATCTGCTATGTCAGATTTGTAATGATGTTACTTAGCTAGACATGCTACTGCATACTTCATTGAAAATAATCTGTATGATTGATTGATGTAAATGTCGTAACTTCTGATAACGACCTGGTAAGTTTCTTTCGCTTTTTCTTCTTGTCAGCCAAAAGACGTTCTGAACGAAAGATAGGGAATTTTTTTTTCGGACGTTTCAAAAGTAAGCTTATTTCAATAAAGTTTTTTTAATCTTCATTTTATGTTACATATCAGCATGATTGTGGAACTGTAAATAAAACAAAATAGAACTTCTTCAAAATTCAGTAGTAAGATTTCACTATGACTTAAATAAGAGTTTGTAGGTAATAAAAGTTAAACAAAACGCATGACAATATATTTATATTATAGATAGCGCACAATTATAATGAATAGACAATTAACAGTTTTATAAAACACTCTAACTGTAAGATATTAATTAATAAAATAAAAAGACGTACATTGAAGTGGTTCAATTAGTACAATAGCAGCCTTGATATGCGTTGTCTTTGATCCATTTTAAATATTTAGTTACCCTAGTGTAAACGCCAGGGTAGCCAGGCCGGCCACAGCCTACGCCCCACGATACAACTCCTGAAAAAAATATTTATTTGGGTATAAAAAGCACACAGTGATCGCTTATGTTTTTGAATTATATATTTTTGGTCATCATAGGGAGCTTTATGTGTAGGTGGAAACAGCTGTCAAAAATTAATGATACGTCAGATATAGCAGCCCCCATACTCTCAAACGAAATCGCGAACGATCGACATTGCAATTGTGCTCTTAGTGAACCAATCAAGAGTGCGGAGCGGCTCAATTGCAATATCGATCGGTTGCGATTGCGTTCGAGAGTAAGGGGGCTGTTCCTGATTTAAAATGATGAATTAAAAAATGCATTAACATTTTTATATTGTCAGTGGTACATACTAAGAAAAAAATCATTGAAGGCTAACAATTTTCAAGGAGTTTTATTTGCTTGCAAAAATACAATATTGGTTTTATATTTAGATATAGACAGTTATTGATTCCTACACCAAATTCTCATTCAATCTTAAAGTTACAGTTAAAAACATTATGAAGGTTTCATCAGCAAAAACTTCTATTAAGGATTTACGAATATTGTTGAAGAACAGATATTATAATAGTATCATTCAATCGTACATTTTGCTCACCTAATAATTCATACTGTTTGTCCTTTCTTTCTGCGCAAAGTGGACCTCCGCTATCACCCTGTATTACAAGTCAAGTAATATTTAAAAATTTTGCAAAGTTTCTTTTTTTGCTTCTGGTAACCTAATTCATTCAATTACAAAACAGAGATGTTGTGTCTATATCCAGGATAGCTAAAATGTAACTAAGAATCAGTTATATTTTATTAACACAATTCTAGATTGGTATTACCAATGATATAACATCAGAATTACATTATGCCTACATCTGGATGAGTATAAAAAACAATTAATCAATATTCTTAATGAAAAAAGCTTAAGAAATCCATTTTGTCCCTGGCACTCTGGGATGGGACTCGCAGTTGTTGAAGCAATTGTTACTTTCAACAAGTAACAAATACTTGAAAATTCATCACTCCCGTTAGGTCTTAGGTAGTTCAGAGGTTAGAGCAGTTGCCCGGACTCCGAAAGGTCATGGATTCAATTCCCATCTCAGAGTGCCAGGGATAAAGTGGATTTTAAGCATTTTTCATTAAGAATACTTATTTTTCAGTATAGCATTGTGAATTCAAGATTGATCAAATATAATAACAATCGATCATTCTACCTTTTGTCATCTTTTCTAACTCGAACTAAATATCGTTTTCAATGAACACACACAGACACACACTGTACACCTGTGTACACCTAACACAAGTGAAAAAAACTTCGGAAAATGGCTCACAGAAATTGATTTACAAAGTATTTCAGTACAAAGAACATTAATCGTTTGAAAAAAAAAGTACCTGACAGGCGTCTTTTCCGCCTTTCTTTGGGTAACCAGCACACAGCATGCTGTCAGCGATCATTTTTGAATCATAATTTGTACTTTTACACGCCTCGTTACTGAGCACAGGCACTTCCACTTCCATAAGACGACACGAATGATTCCTTTCTTCGGACACCGAACCCCAGCCTATTGCTATCGCTTTTACGCCAGTAAAAGTACATTCTGTAAACAAAATATATTTTATGTAAGCGGTTTATCTATCACTGCTTTCTGATTAAAGTTTCTATATTTATATTACAAAAAACACTAACCATCAGTATGCGGCAGACAGATTGGTTTCACCTCATCGGTAATAATAACTCGTTCATTCATTTTCAAAAGAGCAATGTCGTGTTTAAAAGTAACGAAGGTGAAATCGTTCGACACCATTTCTGAGACGAATCTAGTGACTGGACGAACAGTTTTATTGCAACGCTCGTGTTCGCCCAAATTCACTTTGATCATGAACCACATGAATCTGTGAAAAAAATATTTTCTTTCAAAATGAGAGTCTATGTGATAAAATGAAAAGTATACGATCTCTGTAGCCGAGTATTTCCACACCAGTTTCCAAGGTTTGATTCTCGCAGCACTATTATGTAACTAAGCCTTGGTATGATTTGTCAAAATGAAGTCCTGAATGATCTCTCCTCCTGTATACAAAGACGCGGAGCGTCCCTGCCATGATAGTGACATAAAAAAATCTTATTCTTCTTTTTTAATTAATGACTTATCTGCGCATTTCGCACAATTCTGCCAATGTCAAGTACAAAAAATAATTTTTAAATGTAAAATGAAAATGAAATGAATAAAAGGTGTGTGATTGTCAACTATAAAAAACGCGAGGAAAATCCATAACAAAAAAAATCAAGATAGGTTTGTTTTGTCTAATTTGCTGACAGTTAACCTTTGAACAAAATATATCATTCAGATCTTCTTTTGACATATCAAATGAGGTTTTAGTTGCGCGGTAGAGCTGTCGATAAGCTCAATATAGAAATTTAACTTTTTAAAATTATGTGACACAAAGACACAAACCCTTTGACACAGTGAGCGGCAGTTAAGATGTATCTATCATTGATTAACATGCCACCACAGTAGAATTTGTTGAAGTAAGAAAGACGTGCTATCCAAGGAAACTCGTTCACTGCTGTTTCTACACCACCTATGATTCGGGATGCTTCATTTCGGACTCCACAACCTAAAATTAATTAACTTTAACTAATAACCTTGTTATTAGGGTATTCGTTTGTATTGCCATTCTTAAAAAATATTCAATTTTCATTCTACATATAAAACAGAATCGTATGTTTATAGAACCGAATAACTCCATAAGTATGTATCGTGGATGGATAGCGTAGTTTGTGAGCATTGTTAAGCAACTTTCGCAGGGGCTGGTCACCTCTGACCGATAAGATGGGTTACCAAAGAATGATCTTGATCATATTATATGGGATATTATATAGGATATTTATAGGCTGGTGATGATAATGATGGAGGTTGGAAGCGTTAAGCCTAAACAGCCTTTTAGTAAAATATCCTGCATGGTAGAGTAATGTGGGTCTAGTGTGTGCAGTGGGCAAGTGTGCGCATAGCCAGTAATTTATTTTTGAAAATACTAGAGCGCCAAGTCTTCAGACAAAGAACACAACGCCTAAGTCCTTAATATTTACCAAACTATCTCTATCATTTTTTTTAATTTTCTAGAAATTTGAACAGCGCTGCACTCTTGCTTCACATGGATTTAAAGTCTCGGAGGAATCATTTTAATGCGCAATAATAGTCATATAAGCGTAATGAATGATTGATGATTCAAATTATTGATATGGAACAATACATGAGTTGCACAAACGTCCATTATGTTTTAAAGACGCCTTTGAGTTCTAATGAATGTCAAATTTATATGGATAATGTCACTTTAAACTAATGAAAATTTTAATGGACATTTGTGCCATTAGCTGTATATCTGGATCGCTAATTAATAATTGCATATCAGCTGTGTGTACTTACGACAGTCACATGTTTTTTCTTCAAATGACGTACCATCTTCATCATTTGTAACAGTTTCCGCAAATACCTTATCAACAAAATCAAATTTGAAAACAGAAAACCTTTGTGTAAACTTACTGCGGTAATTTTCGACAAGTTTGTGCAATTATTAAAACTTTGAAGACACTCACCACGGTTAAAATAGAGGAAACAATTAGCAAAACGAGGTTATACTTCATTTTGCACTTGGGCTTCCTAGATTTAGGACTCGCGCAAAGGGAATTCTAGATGCTAACTGGTTCGCTTAGCACCTAGAACGGGAAAGATGAGTGCGTTGCACTCAGGCACGCATCGATAATGAGGCTTCGTCCGAAGGTGTTGACTGAAAGCGAATCTGACTGGTTTGATAATTTTGTCGCTGAAACCTTTTTCAAATAAAGGTTGAAATAATAAGTTTTTATTATAACGAAGTGTATATATATATTTTTATTTTGTAGGAATAATGAAGATCAATACAGAGTTAATATTGATAAGAAAAACCATGCGGAGAAAAAAATACAATTACTAAATAAATTAAAAAAATTGTTATACATTTCATAAAAATGCCAAATCAGGAGTAAGTGTTAATAATATAAATAAAAAATAAATATTCAGGTGTATTGTACCGCATCACGTACAGCACGTGTGTTCAGTGACGTACAGTGATGGGTTTCATAGATGCTCGTTTTATATTAAGTGACTACCAATAACTTCATCTAGTAGTTTTGTGTAGGATTTGTAAGTCCTTTTTACTTTTTCATGTATAGTAAACAGCACATCATCTTATATACTTTTAAAAATAAAATACAAAATTAGTTACAAAAATCTGCCAATTTGTGACATCTGATAATTTGAAGAGCTTCCTGAACTGCGACAATTTATTTTTATTTTATTATAATTATAGGAGCTGCAGCTCTTGAAGTCCTGCTGGGATGTTTTAGAGAACATCCCAGCAGTTCAAACACTTCTTCAAAAGGTAACAAAGGTTTTATTGACAGGTGACAGCGCTGTGTTCAACGTCGCATTCGAAGCTTTTGTTATTACATAGCTAATCTGATAGCGCACTGGCGGAATTTTGCAAAACGAACCGTATATGGATATCTATTTATTTTTGTTATCTTCGATGTTAAGAGGTTAGAAAAGAGTCTTGATAAAAACCAAAAGTAATAAAATAAAAGTATATTCATATCATCACAATGCATATATGGCTCTAGGATTAAATTTAGCGAGGTTATAAATTATGTAGCTATATCAGCATCTTTTTATCAATAAACAAAAAGACATCTAATATTTACAATAACATCCATCGTCCGTGTTATCTCTGATCCAATCGAGATATTTTGTTACCCTAGTGTAGACTCCAGGATACCCCTTTCTGGCACATCCATATCCCCAAGAAACGACACCTGTAGCAATGTTTTCAAGAAATTATACTCTGTAAATTCTTTTAAGAGTCACTATCATTATAAGAGTTTTATTTAGGTACTCGCACATAGGTGTTTTAAAAAAAATAAATGTAACCATCTCACAAACAAGTTATCAATTCAGAAATCAAGATAACAGTTAGTATTGTGAATTGTTATGATTCCCATGGGCATAGTTTCAAAATAGAAGTTCATCGTGAAAATAATTCTGCAGAGCGATTCCGTAAAAATTCGGAATTGGAATTCACTCAGGTGTCCAAATTCACTTCGAAGGTGACATCCGCTCAACCTTGAACCTGGGGGGAAGTGCTCCCGCCAAGTCGAACAAAAAAGTAAATAGGGCACGGCCGTATCATTCTTTTCTTGAAGCCATTCGGGCCATTTTCGGATAGAGCAGAGTGTAAGTTTTACGAAAACGCGTTCACTTGTGAGCGCAATAATAATTTTTGTATGTAGATTTGTAGTTCTTAATAGTTACCACTAGGGGCGCTGTGCAGGTTTTCGATCGACGGTGAACGTAAATATCATAAAAACTTACACTCACTCAGTTCACGACATTCCGAATTTCCGAACACGATTTTAAGGTACGGAGGCGATGTTTTATTAGCAAGTCTTGGATGGTTTTCATAGTTGTTCCAATCAAAATTTGTTTATATGTTTTGTAATGATCTCACCAATTAATTCATATGCGTGTTCAGAATTTTCTGTTACAAGAGGACCCCCGCTGTCACCCTGTAAAAGAAATATATTTGAATTTCAGGATATGTAACAACTATTTTTTATTTATAAAAACCAACCACGTCACAAAGGTTTCTTATACATAGTTACAATTACGTAAGGTCAATGACAGGTTTCATAATATTACAAAAGTATCCCTATTATTATTACAATTCTCAAATGGTGTGCTTGTTGTGTGCGTGCTTGTTAAAGCATATGTCAGTGATTTCCTAAAGGTGGTCAGCAGAATCTTAAGGTTCCATAGAAGTTTCGTAGGGTTTAGGGGCGTTCCCAGGCGTTCAGTCCAAAAGTTAAATAAAACATTCATAGAAAAGAACCATAACTACATTTAATTACGACCTCGTCTACGCCGACAATATTATTTTTCACGTAACTCTTAACAAAATATGGTTCTGCAAAAGAGAAATATCACTTATTGTTCCGAGATTAAAAAATGAGAATTCATTCTCATTTATGAAGTAACTCTCAATAGGTGAAGATTGGATCAGTATTTTTGAGATTTCTCCTTACAAACAAACAATCAAAGTTTATAATCTTAGTTTATAGAAAAATACAATTGGGCTATAATATTTGTTAGACTAAGTGCGCGCTTATTTTTACTTACAGTACACGCATCTTTATGAGCAGTAGCGGGATATCCTGCACACATCATAACATCTTTGATCTTAGATGCATTATAGTTTGTTTTCTTGCAGATTTCGTTACTAAGAACTGGCAGGTCCGCTTCACGAAGACTACATGACCAATTTCCTGTTTCAGCAGTAGCACCCCAACCAGCCACTATAGCACTTACTCCAACGTAAGTGTTTCCTGAATAGAAAATGAAGTAAATCACTTGAAAGATTTTATCATTTCGCGGGGGTCCTTTCAATTGAAATAGCTCTTAATGATGACAGAAATTGGTAATTTTGATATAATAAGCGATATTTTTTTAGTGATGAGTATCAATGTAAAATAAGTCCTTAGTTAACTTTAAATTTTTTTATTACCACAATAACGAATATAATCGAAGATTCAGAAGAGCCTTTTCATATATCATTCGCAGACAATTCGCGATAAAAATATATATATCAGTCGAATATATCTTTGCCTTTTCATTTTGAAGTAGGTTAAAAAACTTTTTTTAAGGCTTTTATACCAATTACTGTATTTTTTATATAAAATTTAAATTACTGTATAAAAAATACAGTAATTGTTACTGTATTTTTTTATTTAAATTTCCATCTTGATATTACAGTAATTCACAAAGTATGATGTCCAATTTTCACCTAAATATTAACTAACGCATCTAGTGGTGTGATATATCTCAAAGTGTAGTTTATTTTTTACTTATTTCATATCAGGATATTAAATTTATTATAATCTTTTTTATTTAAGATAGATAGGCAAGCACTTGACCACAGATCACCTATGTCTGTAAGCAATGCAGTGGTCTAAGATGGAGCTTGCCTAGAAGGAACCGATTCACTTTTGACTTGAAGAGTCCCAGATTATATTTGTCCGGAAACAGCGAGTCCGATAGTGAACTCCACAGCTTCGCAGTTCGCACGATGAATGTAGAGGCGAATCGCTTGGTGCTAGTTTGTGGAATCCCCACAGTAAAGCGGTGACGCTTCCCAGTACCCCTGGTTGTACGATAGTGGAAAGGGGACGACGGAATTAAGTCGTGTAATTCCGATGCACCCTCGCCGAAATGTAACCGATAGAAGACCGATAGACCAGCGACTTTGCGGCGATGCTCAAGACTTTGTACTCTCTTTTTCCAAAGAGCGTCGCTTCCAATGAGCCTCTTGGCGCACCTCTCGACGGTCTCCAACGCTTTAAGCTGGTATTTGGCAGAACCATTCCAAAGGTGCGAGCAATACTCCATGCAGGACCGCACTTGCGCTTGATATAGTATAAGCAGCTCTTCCGGCGTGAAGTACCTTCGCACCTTCGAGAGGATACTGAGCTTCTTGGCAGCTAGCTGAGCTTTAGACTCAATGTATGAGCCAAAATTGAGCGTTGAAGATAAAGTCACACCAAGAAGGTCAAGGTGGTCCGTGACCAGTACGGTTAGATCCCGGAATGCGGGAGCCAGCTCAAACGGCCTATTTTCGGAGGAGAAATGACACGCCTCGTGCCGCCAGTTATCAGATTGGCATCGTCCCAATCGGACACTGCCTGGAGGGAAAGGTTCAGACGCTCAACCATTTCTTCTCTGCGAGACTGGATTTCAGCCGGGCTTACATAATCTCGGACTGGACATGTACCTCTCCATGACGGTGCTGTCGTCTGCATACCCAAAGATACCGGGTTTCAACAATTGTTTATATGCAGCAAAAATAAGGTCGCAGAGAGCATGGATCCCTGAGGAACACCGGCATTACTGGCCATTTGGTCCGACGAGTAGCCGTCAACGACCACTCGTAGGGATCTGTCCCTCAAGAAGTCCGATATCCAGTCACATAAGCTAGGTGGCAATCCAAACGATAGAAGCCTGCTAATAAGGCCGTCATGCCAATCACTCTCGAATGCCTTGGAGATGTCCAGGGAAACAGCTAGTGCCTTCCCGTATTTCTCGATGGCCTCATTACAGATATGTGTGGCGTACACTAGAAGATCTCCCGTGGACCGATTTTGACGTAATCCATATTCTTAAATTAAAATCAGTGTCACAGTTGCGAGGCTTATACCTTTTTATTTTTAAATAGTACTATAATAACTACCCGAATGCGATTCGGACTCAAAAATGACGGTTATAGACTCCTCAATGTGATTCGGATCCAATGCTGATTTGCTACGTTTCGTTTTATGTAATACGAAAAAATATTCTTTCGTCACATGGTCAAAAGGTGCACATTAACAAAAACATTTTGGTTTATTCCTATATATGTATTAATTTTTAAAGTAACTGAACGATTATCTCGAGTTAACCTCAAAACATTATTTACAAATTAAGAATCTCCCTGGCGTCCAGATTAAGAGATGCGATGATATAATTCTATTTGAAGCAAAAACTAATTTAAATTATTACAAATGGTGGGTAGACGTGAACTAAAAAAAAAAAACATGTGACAAGTCAATCAATGTTTGGAAAGTGGACATGATTCTTTATTAATTTCACTAATAATGAAGTATAATTATAAGAAGAAATTCACTTCATTATCACGGTGAATTTCAGAGGTGATCCAAAAATTTTAATTATTAGTTTGCGACCTCTTAAGTTAAGAAATCAACTGGAAAATAGTCATAGTTGCGTGAATTCTAAGAGACCAATTTAGATGTATGTAAATGCTCAATAGATATAGTATGTTATTTAAGATAAATAATACAAAATACTTATCTAAGGAGGTAAACTAAGTAATTAGTAAGAGGATAACTAATAAGGTTAGGTAAAAGCGGCTATTTAGATTAAAAATAACAAAAATTAACAGACCTAGAGCTAGTTTAAATAAGTTTAGGTAAAAGCGGCTATTTAGATTAAAAATAACAAAAATTAACAGACCTAGAGCTAGTTTAAATAAGTTTAGGTAAAAGCGGCTATTTAGATTAAAAATAACAAAAATTAACAGACCTAGAGCTAGTAACTCACTCACAAAGAGAATTGCGTAAGAAAATTCAGTTTTAAAAACCACTAGGAGTTGGCTGGTGCCGTGTTTAGCGCGTTTGATTTGTGATAAGGTTGTTAAGCAACTTTCGCAATAGGATGAGTGACCAAAACTTTTATTACCCCAGGCTTTCGAGCACGTAAAACCGTTGATTTCGCATCTGCAGCCATTAAAACCAGATACAGACTGAGCCAGTGTGGGGTGGGGATTTGGCCTCCTTATTAGATTTAATTCGATTCCATCCACAGGAAAGGCTTATACCCGAGCAATATTAATAGGTTAGTGATGCTAATAAGAGTTATTATTTAAATCTCACCTGGATTTTTAGGCAAACATACGGGCCTGATTATGTGCGAATATTCCACAGGTTTGTTGAGTTTTAATAGAGCTATGTCGTTGCTCAGGTCAGACAATGAGAAGTTATGAACGATCATCTTGACAACGTATCTCGTGTCTGGTCGCTGCTCCCGCTCGCACCGATCATGTTCACCGAACGTCACGCGGAACATAAACCACATGAAACTGGAATGATGATGGAAACACATTTGATACAGCAGCATTTGTCATTTTGGGGATCTTTGTAATCACGCTATCCAACGGACATTTGAAATTTGAACAAAAAGTTTGAACAAAAGTTTGATGGAAACGCATCAATTGTGGAATCCGGATAAAGTGTAAGCTTTATCTTTCTTTGATATTGAAAGTGACTCGATTCATAATTTTTTGCTAAACTTAATTAAGTTTTAGAACATGATGTTCTCTAACTCTTGCACTTGTATCGTTTTATCGAAATTTAACATCCAACAAGGTTTATGAGTTTCCTTTCTTAAAATTTAAGGATCGCCGTTAGTTTCTTAAGCATTCAGATGAACCATCAACTAAAACATCATCATTGAAACACTTCATTTGAATACACGTGATTTGCTCTCATATTTTAATATTTGAAATCGATTTTCTATCTATATCTATCAAAAAAGTTAAATATTAAAACTAAATAGTTAAATAGTCTCTTATTTTCTAGTATTACCCTTTGATACAATGTGCTGCAGATATAACGTATCGGTCGTTAATCAGAGATGCACCGCAACCAAAAGCCTTATGATAGATGAGGCGCGCCAGCCAAGGATATGCATTCATACTGGACTCTAAACCTCCCACCACTCGAGGTTCCTCATTCCTTTCGCCACAATCTAACAAAAGTGTTAATACATTGAGTTCTTAACAAAAACAAAAAAAAAACACGTCTGCCAAACTGAACTAAAAATAAAAGAAACAAATTATAATAAGATGGCAGTAGGAATAGGAAGACTTCTTACAAGACAAATGTTCCACAGAACAGAACGACGGTCCCCTGACTGCAACGAGAATGTTATCATATTTTTTAAATGACATCATTCATCTCCCATATTTGATATATCAAACTTATATATACATAAATATATTAAACTTAAACACAATACAGGTTTGGGAAGTCGTTTATAAATTATATGCGTTTCCTTCTCGGATTTTGTAAGAACTATAGCGTAAATCTAGCGTTTTATGATCATTATTTACATACAGTGTTACTCAATAGTTTTGATCTTTAATCTAAATCCGGTAAATATCAACCAAATATTGAATGCTCGCGTTGTGTCTCTATGCCCGCGAGTTCAGTGTTAAATGTGGTTAATCACATGTTTATTACAAAATAGTTTATTCCAAAGGGGTTATGGTGTAATTCCCTAGTTTATTACTAGCTTTCCACCAGCAGCTTTGTCTGCATTATCCGTAGGGAAAAGTTGGCGAAAAGTTTAGTGGAATAAATTTTTTTTACCTGTTTAACAAAATTCGTAAAATTCGATCAGTGATTTTTGCGTGAATGAATGACAAACATTCATAAATCTTCACAAATTTTCGTATTATATAATATTGAAAGCTAGTCCCGTGGGTTTTCCCTTTATGTTTCTCCATTGAGCAATGTACTGAACATATAAAAAATGGTAATTGATGATGTTGACAGTTAATTTAAAGTGACATCATGTATATTTTAAGGGTGAAGTTTTATACTTTACATGTATTTTTAATTTTTCTTAAATTCCACATTTTCTTACCATTCGGACCTCTTTATTAATTTGTACTTATAAAGTATTCCTATCACTGAACTGGATCAATTACACCTTAACCTAGATATAGATCCTTTATTAGATAAATATAAATGTAATTTCTGATTTTAACTTACTACAGTCCTCGCATTGACGTAAAGTTTTTTCAGTAAAAGCTGTAAATGGTTTGTTAAATAGCTCTGACACTGAAGGGGCTTCCTGAAATATATAAATATTTTGATATACAAAGCACATTATATCAGAATTTAAATAGAAAAAAAAAACGATTGTAAAAACATATCAAAAGCAACATTCTATCAGCGAAAACAAATTTCTGTAAAAAATATTTAAAAAAATATATATTACCAACATTCGTTATTTGAATCTTTGAGTTTAAAGTTGCAAAAATCTATATATATTTAAATTTTCTAACGTTAATATGACAGACAGTATTAAACTTAGTAAAAATAACACTGTCTGTTATCTAATTAATATTATAATTATTATAATTAATCCAACATAAGTAAGAAATAAAAACTTATAGCTCAGTTTTTGGAATGACTGTGTATATTAAACACCTGCCTGATTCTCATTTTTGTAAGTCGTTAATTGCGTTT